AGGCAAAAATTTTGATACTGATTTTGTTAGATTTAAAAAATAAGATTTTCAAAATTTTAAATTCTGTGTATATGTTATTATTAAGACCACCTATCAAGAATATGCTGTCGCATACTTTAAGAGACTGTCCAAAATGTGTTATATTGTTAGCTATTTTAGATTTAATAATAATACAAATTTTGTTTTACTTAAAATTTTGTTTTACTTAACAACACTAAACAATTACTGTTTAATCTGTCTGTACCACCAGCACTTACATTATCATATGGTACCAACGAACAAGATGTGCAAAATAATGACAACACTTATATTCTGAAGTTTATTAGGAATAAGATAGGCACATAATATTATATGTCATGACAGACGTTTCTCAAGCCATGCACCGGTTGCATGGAAATCTCTTCCACTGATGTGAGATTTATTACTGATATTGACTGTTTCAAGCGAATGTTTAAGAACCATTTATATAACAACAAAAGCGGTAGTAAAGTTAAGATATCAGATTTAGATATTAATTTAGAGCCAACAAATTGAATTGGCTACTTTTACTACTACAACAAAGGGTTTTTATGAAATTTTCTAAGATTTTTTATTGAATTTCTATATAGAAATTTTATGTAGGGTTATTGTTATATTATGTGTATATTGTTTTAACTGACTGTTTACTCTTTATATAATAATAAATAATAATAATTTTAAACTTTTAAATTATAGTGGCACAACAATTTAAAATGCACAAGTGTGGCACGAAAACAGTTCAGGACACAATAAAACCTGAAAAAGCAACCCACATTTATGTTCTAAACCAGGCAAGTTAAGGGTAATAAACTTGATACACTAAATAAACGTTAATGTGTATGCATTTTCTAGAAATATGTAGGGAAAAACTTGATAGTGGCAGCAGGCTAAGACTAGGTTCAATCAGATAGATAAGATGATTAATATAGTTAAAAAGAAAAGCAGATATGGACTGCTTTAAAACTTTTATTTTGGAAAAAGTTTGTTTCAGTAACCATTGAGAACCAGTGGCCTTTTGTAACTGCATCTTTAACCTCAGTTTCACTTTGAAACGTCAAGTGACTGGTAAAGTCAAGTATTCTGTTCTATGAACATTTATTCTAGTATTTTGAAGTGTAGAAATTGTTAAGATCTTTAATTTTGTACTAAATTACTGATGTTTTATAACGTTTTAACGGGGTGTAATTTTGTTAGGTAGGTATTTAAAATTATTAGTCTTTTGGAAATTGAAGTTTTGATCTTTACTATTTATTGTTAATAAAATGCTCATTGTAGCCAGTTATTTTAAGATTTTCATCATCAATAGGTTGACGGGGAAAAGGAGTGTGTGTGTGTGTGTGTGTGTTGTTCGCTATTGCTCACACCAAACGGCAACCTAGTAAAAGAATGAATAGAATAAGTTACATTCAATTTCAGCAATGGCCAATTGGCTGACTATAAGGTCATGGCCTGAACAAACAATTTTTTTAAATAGTCAAGTGATGCTAAAGCAGAGCACAAATGTGTAATAAGTTAATAGTAAAAGTGTTGTACTGGCACCAGTCTCCATCTTGGCTACTACTGGGAACTGTCATATGAAATCTTTGATAGGATAGATGAGTCTGTCTAATAGGAATAGTTATATGAAAGAGAATCCAATGATAGCTAAGAGGAAGAAAGTTAATATCAAAGGTATTTAGTTGAATTTTTTTAGTTTGTAATTATGGTTTTAAACGTAAATCGTTAATTTTCTGTGAATTTCCTGTTGAGATGCCCAGAGAGGCATTATTTATATTTATAATCAGGTAAACTAAAGGCTGCAATCTGGCAACTTTAAAATTGGTTCTTTTTATCATTTATTAAATGTTATTAAATATTCCATTAAGACACTTACAATCAAGGAGTTATAACTTGTACTGAATTATGTTATGTTATGTTATGTTGTGAATTCTGTAACTGATAGGCAGCCAATGAAGGTCTTACAGAGTATCTCCTAGATGATCATGTTTGTAAAGTCCTAATCAGTTTTGATGTTTTTTCTTTCCTTTTGTCTTCACTTTGCAAGATACTTAGTCTTTTCAAGAAAACAACAATTTCAAGAAATTGTTGCACTGCATTTTATGGTATATTGTCCTTTATCTGCGTTCTGCTTTCATAGTTTCAACAATAGTGAGTTCTAAATATACAGCTTTAAACCGACTATGTATGAATGAATGACATTCCGCACTCCTGCAACTCAAAAGCATGAGTAACTCGTAATAGTATGATGTATGATCAAATTAAATTTGGCGCTCACAGGTCCTCGTGATCATGTGATTGCTGCGTGAGGTTTTATACATGCGTGGCGCACCTTCAAGCTTAAATTATTCTCCTTATTGAGGCAGCCAACCAATGCAATGCGCGGCTCTATTTCTATGATATGATATGTTTTGATTGTGGAATCCAGTTGCGGCTCATGGAAGTTTGGGGATTGTTTTGGAGCTGGAGAGCGTCCAGAGGCAGTTTACCTGTCTTATTGATGAGGTGGGTACTCTTCCTTACAGCCGTAGACTGGAAATTCTCAATTTGACAACGCTGGCAGAGCAGATAATACGTGGGGACTGTATTGAAGCTTTTAAGGTTATTAATGGTTTGACCGATTACGGCTCAGATTTGTTCAAAGTGAGCAGATCTGGTCTTAATCTTGTATCATCCAACAGATGTTGTAAGAGTATGGCAAAGATTAGGAATCTCCAAAGTTCATTTCTTCCAGAGCGAGTTATTCCTTACTGGAACAAACTCCCTCCAGATTTTAAGAACTCAGTGACTGTTTTAAGTTTTAAGACTAAATTAGAAGGGTTTTAGAAAGATATGATTTCTAAGGATATTTCTAATGATTCACATTTTTGGAATGTTTCAAACGAAGTGTTAGGGAGAATTGAAGGACCTAGCTATGTTAGTAATAAAGAGAAGCATAATGATTATCTTTATTTCCACCCTTTCGTGGCAAAAAATCGATTTGTAAATCTTTATTCCACTGGGAAGTATGAATAGGGTTATCTTTTGTGGATGCTTTTTGAATTTATTTTAATAATGTTAATAATTTATTAATTTTGGTGGTAAGATATTTATATTTTTCCATATAGTGATTTGATACTTTGTAGACATGTGTGATGATGTTATGTCATAATTTTTACTTTTCTTTAAGTAAGTAAGTAAGTAAGTAAGTAAAGATTATGACATAACATCATCACAAGTGTCTACAAAATATCATTGCACTAAATAAAAAAATAATTTAAATAAATATATTTTTCCATCAACATTAATAATTTATCAAATTCAATTTTATTAATTAATAAAATCTAATACTAAATCTATAAATAATTCATTAATACTTCCCAGTGGAATAAAGATTTATGAAACGCTTCTTTGCCACAAAAGGATGAAACCAAAGATATTCATTATGTGTCTCCTTATTGCTTAAATAAATTACTTAAATTTACTTAACATTGTTTTTAATAAATACCAAAATTTAAAACTTGTTTTGTCTTGATCTCTACCTTTCTAGGATCTGTTCCTCTTTTGGTTGATTATGTCATTGTACTAACCTTTATTATACCTACATGTATTGTATGGCTTCTGCTTCCTTTTAGTTTAGTGTGGTTTACAATAAAAGATGTTTTAATTTTGTCATAGCCTCATAATGAGTTATATTTTTGTTCACTTTTACACATTTGCTCACATCACTCACACTCAGCCGCTCTGACATGGTAAACCACCTTCCTTGTGTTGTTGGTTAATCATATGAGCAGGATATAAATACTTCATTTCATTTCATTTCATGTTTGAGATAAATGAATGACAGGTTTATCATGAAAGGTATTTTTTGGAGAGGTTGGGCCTGAGTGGCCCACGGGAGGATAGCAGAAGTCATTTAGTTGCCTTTTTTAAGATTCACTTGATTATGAGGTAATCACAATCCAACATTCTGGTTATATATAGTATATTGTAGGTACTGTATATAATTCAATATGTATTGATTCTTCTGTGGAAAATAAAAATTGTATTTTACTTAAATTGTATTTTACTTGTAAAAGCTAGTTGGTGTATTCTTCATATATATTTATTTATACACTTGTTATCATTTAACTTACTAATTTGTAGTAAGTATCAACTTAAAACATGAAATAAAGTAATGTGTTGTGAATTTGACTAAATTATCCATTTAATCCATTTCAGAAAGAATGTTCAGACACAGTTAAATATAAATTGTGTCAAAATGTACTGCTGGCGATCCAACTTTAAAGCCTTATATCAAAACTTGTTTCAGATTTATGGCTGCACATTGCTTACAACCCACTGAGCATAGTGCTGTTAATATAGTTGATGTTCAATCAGAAAAACGGAAAAAGAAGCGCAAGAAAAAGAAGGAACCTTCTTACTCTGTTCATGGGGAAGTGATTTGGAATGATAACATTTGGGATGATAATGAATTAACTTACTATAGGAGACTTAGAGAGTTTTGGTCAACTCTATGTATTGATGATCGAATTCAAATAGCATCTTTAGAAAAAGACTTAGTTGTTTTAAAAATGAAAGAGCAGCAGCGGATAACTTGCAATTGCGACTGTTGTACTCAGGAAAGGCGGGAATTTGAAGTTGATGTTGAAGAGTGTTTTGCTCTTTATCATGACGAATTAATTCGAATGGATATGAGGAATGATTATGGTGATAAGCTTTCTCAAATGCCATTGGAAGAATGTGCTTTAAATGACACTGAATTTGTTTTCTATTGGAGTCTTTCATCGGATGGACATCAGATATCAGTTAGTCCTGAATTAGTTGAGGGTGGTGCTTTGTTTATTGACCTTTTAGAAAGTAGTCAGTATGATGATGTTGATGAAGACTTTTATGATAGGGATTTTGAAGATATTCAAGAAGCTACAGATGATCTTACAGAAGTTCAACTTGCATGGGCCAGGTTATTAGTGGGTAGGAAATTTTTTCAGACATTTATTGCCAGAATGTTTGAAGAGAGATTACTTGTAGCTTATCGAGAAAAGCTTGCATTTGACAAGCAGCAAAAACTTATTGCTGAAGAAGAGGAGGAAGAGAGACTACGAAAGGAACGAGATGAAAATAGACAAATTGCCCGGCAACGAAAACGTGAAAGGAAAAAGGAGCAGAAAAAAGCTGCTGCAGATAGGAAAAAGGCTGAAGTTGAGGAATTTCAAAAAGCTGAGCAAAAGAAGATTGAACAAGAAATTCTTCACAAGCTTGATGAAGAGAAGAAAAGGAAGGACAAAAGAAGATTAACTCGGACCTTTTCAAACAATGATATTAATGATGATGGTTCTTCTAATTCCAGTGGGAGTCGAAGCTCTAGTGTAGAGCGTGCTCTCATGGAAAATGTACCTGAACAAGCAAAGCTTTCAGAATGCATGAAGAAGAAGAACATATCATCAGAAAAGAAGAATCTAGACTCTTTAAAGCCGTCTACGAAGTTAAAGAAGGAAAATAAACCTCCATCAGCAGTGCCTACCAAAAATGGACTACAATCTTCTCCAAAGAACAGTTCGGTGAACATTATTGAGGAGGAAAAACCTTTGGAAACATCAAGGTCAAACAAAAAGCGCAGGCGGAAGAAGAACCAAAAGGTCAAAGATGTGGATACAGACATTCTTGTGAACAACACAAACATTCCTGGAAGTTCTAGCATTATTCCAAATACTGCCACTAAAAAGGATGATCCACTGAGGATAGTCAGAAAGACAGCTGAGACTCCCATATCTAAGAACATAACTGTAGGTTCTAATAGGGTTTCTCCTCCAAATATTACTAAAGCTGCTGCTGCCGTTTCTGCCACATCACCAGAATCTCCCAAGATAGTTGCTTCAAAGCCTCAAGTTATTCCTGCTGCCCCAAAACCTGGTAAAGTTAGTCCCAAAGCTTCTTCGAAACCTCTATATGAAAAGTCTATCCAAATACCTATTCCTCAACTGAAACCTGTATCTAAAAATTCTATTCCTAAGAATATCACGATCAAGAAAACTCAAGCTCAGGTTGTAACAACAACTACTACAACAACTGTTGTAGCTAGCAGGGCTGCGCCTGGTTATGAAAGGTCTATGAATTCTGCTGCAGTTTCTTCTTATGTAGCGATGACAACTTCTCAGGCAATGCAGATTCTTAACTCGCATACCTCGACAGCAGTGTCAATGGGAGCAACTACACAATCCGTGTGGGGAAATACTAGTCCAATTCCAATAACATCTGTGATAGGTGATTCCAAGACCACGCCAGTGAAGTCAAAACCAATACAAATGGAGAGTGAAATGCCTGAGCCTAGAGTTCCTACTCCTAAAGCTATCGGAAGTGAAAGAGCTGCAGACAGAGCAATTGGAAGTGAACGGGCTAAGTCTTACCATAAAGAAATGCCTCTCAATGGTTTTGGTGATGCTACAAACTGCTCTCCTTTTGCCAATTCGAATCCTCAGTTCTTTTTGGGTCTTCAGGAGATTTTGTCTTCGGCAAAACCGAATGATAAGAATCCTTCAGAAATGCTTTTTGAAAATTTGGATCCAGATTTCAGTTCAGGGTTTCCAACGTCTTGGACAGCAAGTTCTCAGAATTCACTATGGTCTGCAACCTCTCCGTCTTTACAGCAATCTAACATGAGCAACGCTCCTGTGTCAAACTCACTTGACTCCAGCAACAGCTCGAGGAGTAGTCCGGAAGTGAACTCACTGTGGATGCAACAACCTCCGCCCAGTCAGACTCCGCCGTGGTCTTGCACCCCAATTGGTACGCCCAAAGTTCCTTTAACACCCCCTCCGTTAACTCAGCAGCAGCAACAGCAACAACAGCAGCAGGCAAACTCGAACATGCCCATTCCTGGCATCATCCACATACCTCGGTCTCTGGCACCCAGCCTGTCACCATTCCAAGCTTTCTCAGGGCTGGATCAACGTGGTGTCCGGCAGCCTTGGACTCAACAAAAGTTGCACTCGGGGTTTGAAATGCAGCCGATGAGACCATCATGAACGATGTTGTGATATTGATGTATTGTAGCAATTTGGGTGATGTCTCCTGCCGAGTATGTTAGTTTTTGTTTAAGATTATTTCTTTTCTGCCTGATATTATGAATAATTTAGACGATAGTGATGATAATTTGTGTTCAAGAAAATATACGAGTGTTTTTTATGAAAGCATTTAATGTACACTAATCTTAATCTTTGGTAAATTTAAGTTATGCTTTTTTAAGAAAATTAAAAGCTATGTATTGATATGAATGTTGTTGAAATACGAGTACACTGTTTACTGCTGCATTGAATCAAGAGCTTGTTGAGTTTATATGATCTGCAAATGAGTGCCATCCCATTCTAATGAGTACACAGCATGTCACGTGAACAACTTCCCATGACCTTCTGAGAGTTTGAACAATTTTAAGCTTTTGATAAAATATATGTGTCGACTGGGTATATTGTTGTTTTGAAATTTGTCGTTAGGTTTAGAAATGCGAACGTTCGTGTTGAATTACTAATACTGGGTTTGAGAAATAATTGAACTGATCATGTCTTAATTACCAAAAAACTGTAGTTCAATTTGTGTGTTTCATTGTCGTGTTACAGTTTTCTTCTAACCTGACTTTTATTTCAAAACCTGAAAAAGTTGATTCAACTGGAATTATAGCGATTATTCGAAAACTAAATGCTTAAGTTTCTCAGTTTTGATTAACATTATCAATTACATATATTTTAATTTCATAATTTGTGTGCATATTTTTATGTATAAATTAAAATATCTCATTATACGATTACTGACAATATTACTTTATTCTATTAGGATGGTTCCAACTCGACTACTCCTCCTCGCTGTTCTCGTTGCTGTTGTCAAGATAACAGATGGGAACGGTAAAAGCAAATGGACTGACCCGTCACTAAACACGCCTGAACAGAATGAACGGGTTTTAGAGGAAGTTCGACAGGGTCTCCACAAAGACCATGGACATGAACACGATCACGGACACGATCACCATGGCCACGATCACGGACACGACCATGGGCACGATCATGGACACGATCATGGACACGACCATGGACATGATCACGGACATGATCACGGACAGGATCACGGACATGATCATCACCACGAAGCTCCTGCGGAACCAGAAAATGTTTGGCTCAAAGCATTTGGGGCCACTATACTTATATCATTAGCTCCTTTCCTTGTTTTATACCTCATTCCTATCGACAGAAAAAACAAAGAACAAGAAAACTTCCTTAAAGTTCTACTCGCATTTGCCTCTGGGGGATTATTAGGTTGGTAAGTAATTTTACTAACTTCATTTTGATTGCTAAATTCAGAACCTTGAAATTGCAACAAACGTCATCGAATCAAATCAATGACCAAAGCTGGTTTTATTTAATGTAAAAGTAAGATTAGTTCCAATTATCAGCCCACCGACATGACCATTAATTTCTTCCCGGTTCAATATTTTCTTTCAATCTGTGTATTTTAACCAAACACTTCTTCATTGATAATTTTATTTTTCAGGAGATGCGTTCCTTCACCTTATACCTCATGCCATATCACCGCATAGTCATGGAGGTTAGTAGACAATTAACATCTTATCAATTCTTATCTCTTTTTTACTATGTCTGTTGAGACTTTGTAATAGTTCCCTCAGTCGAGCTATCAATTACGTAATTTTTAGCCGATTTAGGAAATTCTTTGCAGTTTGCTAAAATAGAAATTATAGAAGCTCAGAGCTGCATTAATTGCATTCCAATACTATCGAGTATCGGCTACAATACTAGCCACTACATTCCATAGCATGCACGAACTTGCAGCCGTAGTATTACTGTGTAGCTATAATAGTATTTCAAGTTTGTGAGGTTTTGTAATGAACTAAATTACTCATACCTCTAGACACAAGCTGTCAAAATATAGAAAGGGAAATACCTGTAGAAAGGGAAATACCTCAATCTAGAGAGAAACAGTCCTGTGAAACCTGTTTCTAGTTAATAATCCTGGACACTGTAACACGTGTGTCACAGTGTAACACGTGACACTAAACACAGTGTAACACAGTGTGACACTGTGACACGTGTGTCACAGTGGGACGCCACGTGTAACACAGTGGGACGCCACGTGTAACACAGTGGGACGCCACGTGTAACACAGTGGGACGCCACGTGTAACACAGTGGGACGCCACGTGTAACACAGTGGGACGCCACGTGTAACACAGTGGGACGCCACGTGTAACACAGTGGGACGCCACGTGTAACACAGTGGGACGCCACGTGTAACACAGTGGGACGCCACGTGTAACACAGTGGGACGCCACGTGTAACACAGTGGGACGCCACGTGTAACACAGTGGGACGCCACGTGTAACACAGTGGGACGCCACGTGTAACACAGTGGGACGCCACGTGTAACACAGTGGGACGCCACGTGTAACACAGTGGGACGCCACGTGTAACACAGTGGGACGCCACGTGTAACACAGTGGGACGCCACGTGTAACACAGTGGGACGCCACGTGTAACACAGTGGGACGCCACGTGTAACACAGTGGGACGCCACGTGTAACACAGTGGGACGCCACGTGTAACACAGTGGGACGCCACGTGTAACACAGTGGGACGCCACGTGTAACACAGTGGGACGCCACGTGTAACACAGTGGGACGCCACGTGTAACACAGTGGGACGCCACGTGTAACACAGTGGGACGCCACGTGTAACACAGTGGGACGCCACGTGTAACACAGTGGGACGCCACGTGTAACACAGTGGGACGCCACGTGTAACACAGTGGGACGCCACGTGTAACTTCATGACCAGTCCAGTGTATACTTTACAGAAAATGTTCAGTTAGATTTCCCAGATTTAGCCGGTCGTATTGTGTGACCAGTTTTAGCCGGTCGTATTGTGTGACCAGTTTTAGCCGGTGGTATTGTGTGACCAGTTTTAGCCGGTCGTATTGTGTGACCAGTTTTAGCCGGTGGTATTGTGTGACCAGATTTAGCCGGTCGTATTGTGTGACCAGTTTTAGCCGGTCGTATTGTGTGACCAGTTTTAGCCGGTGGTATTGTGTGACCAGTTTTAGCCGGTCGTATTGTGTGACCAGTTTTAGCCGGTCGTATTGTGTGACCAGTTTTAGCCGGTCGTATTGTGTGACCAGTTTTAGCCGGTCGTATTGTGTGACCAGTTTTAGCCGGTCGTATTGTGTGACCAGTTTTAGCCGGTCGTATTGTGTGACCAGTTTTAGCCGGTCGTATTGTGTGACCAGTTTTAGCCGGTCGTATTGTGTGACCAGTTTTAGCCGGTCGTATTGTGTGACCAGTTTTAGCCGGTCGTATTGTGTGACCAGTTTTAGCCGGTCGTATTGTGTGACCAGTTTTAGCCGGTCGTATTGTGTGACCAGTTTTAGCCGGTCGTATTGTGTGACCAGTTTTAGCCGGTCGTATTGTGTGACCAGTTTTAGCCGGTCGTATTGTGTGACCAGTTTTAGCCGGTCGTATTGTGTGACCAGTTTTAGCCGGTCGTATTGTGTGACCAGTTTTAGCCGGTCGTATTGTGTGACCAGTTTTAGCCGGTCGTATTGTGTGACCAGTTTTAGCCGGTCGTATTGTGTGACCAGTTTTAGCCGGTCGTATTGTGTGACCAGTTTTAGCCGGTCGTATTGTGTGACCAGTTTTAGCCGGTCGTATTGTGTGACCAGTTTTAGCCGGTCGTATTGTGTGACCAGTTTTAGCCGGTCGTATTGTGTGACCAGTTTTAGCCGGTCGTATTGTGTGACCAGTTTTAGCCGGTCGTATTGTGTGACCAGTTTTAGCCGGTCGTATTGTTTGACCAGTTTTAGCCGGTCGTATTGTGTGACCAGTTTTAGCCGGTCGTATTGTGTGACCAGTTTTAGCCGGTCGTATTGTGTGACCAGTTTTAGCCGGTCGTATTGTGTGACCAGTTTGACCACACCCTCTGAAGGCTTCTGTAAGGGAGCCTTTTATACCAAGCTTGGACAGTATGAGCTCAGTTATGTGTTTTGTAAATTGCTCAATGCTCTTTGACTATATAAGAATAAAAGCTGACTCGAAAATGGGACTTTCCCACCCCTCATTTCACAATAAGGGAAATAAGGGACATTTCAAGATCACCTGAAATGCGGTTATATTTTGCAATCCTCAGCCAGTCAAAGCTACATATTACACATATATTATGTTTGTTATACAATGTATAAATGTATGTTCAGTTTAGATTCGGATGATAACGTGTTGTTACTAATCTGGCCACGCCCCAACGAGATAAGAAATTGATCTAATGAGTAAGCTCAGGAGAGTACAACATCATCTGAGTTATATGTTTTACTAAATGCTTATTTAATAGTTCTTCACTTGTAGATCAGGTACTACAAGTTATTCAGATAGTCACTACAAGAACTACAAGCGAAGAAATATTAAATAAAAAGGGGTTCCAACGAGAACATTTTGTCTAGTTTTCTCTGATAATTACTTTTATACCATTGTATGTAGATTATAGTGTACTGTAAACATAGTACTACGCTCTGACTCTATAGTTATTAAGGAGAACATCTTAATTCTTCGTATTAACTTTACTACAGCCCTGTTTTTACTCAACAACAGTTCCACTGTATCTGTTTAATAACACTACACGTTATGTAATGTTACATCACACGTGCTGTGACGTCATCACACGTGCTGTGACGTCACCATCCTACACACCATCCACACAATAGCTAAATCTTTTAAACCTGTATGTAACATTACACGAGCTTTAGGAGCCTGCGTCATTCAACACATGCTGCTAACGCTTACTTTTACTTCTGCTGTTTAGTGTTCAGCTGAACTTAAGGTAGTTCCCCGGAATATAACTAAACATGTGACGTCATCACACGTGCTGTGACGTCATCACACGTGCTGTGACGTCATCACAATCAAAACTAAACAACAATATTAGCACTCTCGCGTGTTAGATCGAAATGTGTGTGTGAAGATTGCGTGTAACCAAACAATTGGAAGTTATGATACTTTGAAAGTTTAGTTTAGTTACATATAGAATAATAATCTAGAACTAGGAACCCTTGCTGCTGCTAGTAGTTGTCCACACACAATAGGTGTTGTGTTGCAGAGGGCGGCTCTGTTTAGTTATCCTTGTCAATCAATTCCTTAAGTAGATTTTTAAACATATTTCCAGCTAACATTGCTGAATAGTTGTTACTGTGGGACTGTAGAATCAGGTTCCATATCGATTAGGACTTAAATTTTACTCACCAGCATTTGATTTTCTGATGCTACACTATGTACGTAATTATAGTCTGTAATTTATGCTAGCAAACTTACGTCACGATTTCTGCTATTTAGTATTCTGCTATTTAGTAATATGTACTCAATTTCTTTGTTTCAGATCACGACCACGCACACGACCACGCACACGACCACGCACACGACCATGGACACGACCATGGCCATTCTCACGGAGCCGAAATGGCCGTTGGAATGTGGACGCTTGGTGGAATACTTACATTCTTGCTTATAGAGAAGTTTGTGATCGCAATAAAGGGAGGACACTCACACAGCCACGGGTAATTAATTAGTGAACTACTCATTAATTAGCGAACTATCAATTAATTAGTGAACTACTATATAAGGATTAAGTTTGCAATTAAGGAACTTTGCTTTATGTTGGGAGTGCTGTCTCGGGCGACTCTGTCAATTGGACATGCATGCAACATTTCTAATTGCTGTTCCGAAAGAGAATAATAGCAACGTCCACTAAGATGTAGTATACCCAATACCCATGTGTATAGTACCTATGTCAAGTAAGTAGTAACCCTGTGTAAAGTGTGGTAAACCTATGTCAAGTAAGTAGTAACCCTGCGGCTACTGGCTTAGTATTCTACACTTGTTGGACATGTCAGTGATGGGTTTATAAGCTTAAGCAACCAAACCTGAGAGCAATTGTTACGTGTCCTAAACAAATATACTCCTGCGAGAAACTTAGGCAAGGTGGAGTCCAACTTCAATTCTAAAATCAATTTGATCCTTTTTCATCTAACAGAAATTGAGGTGGCACCTAATTATGTATCTGGTATTTTTGACTCAAACCTTGCACGTTAGTTTGTAATGCTATCCTTAGATACAAAATGGGAGGCCGACCCTTTGTCGTGCAGCCTACAAAATGATGAGTCACCTCTATTTTGTTTCATCGTTACGTTTGCTAGTGATCAGGTGATATAATATCTTTATCTTACAGGCCGGTAGCACCTGTAGAAACACCTAAAGAAGCTAAGAAGAAGGAGAAAGACTCAGATGATGAAAGTGATGAAAAAGAAGAGAAGGAAGATGAGAAGATAGAAGAACCAGGTACTGATCAATATTACTCATCAGGATCATACCACTCCCACCGCCGCGCTAATTACGCTTCGGTCAAACGGTCGAAAAAGGTCTTTTAATCTCGATCGTTGGAACCAACAGTTGCGCTTCCTACCTAACATTACAACTTTCATGGTATGTTGGGCAAGCATAGTATACAGGTAAATATATGTGCTTGCATACACCCCACAGTGGGCTGTGAGTGGGGGTCATGCTAGCATAGGGTATTTTAGACCATCACACATGCCCCTAACTTTGTTTCTAAGGTAATTTGGGTACAAAAATACGATTCCAATCATTTACAGGGCAGAAAATGTCTCAGAAAAAATTTTTGGGCCGATTTTGAGCAATCTTGTAGTCCAAAAATAGGAGGCTGATCCCAGGAAAAGTTGTTTTTTTAGAGGTTTAATCAATTTTAAAGCTCTTCTATGAACTGTAAACGAAGGACAGCTATCTTAGGAACTCAAATCTTTTTGAATTATGAAAAAATATTGATCAGAACAAAAGTTGTGCCCATTTATATGACCAAAATTTTCTGAAACACCAAAATTGTTCCTGTTATTTTCAAAAATTTCGTTTAAAATCACGATTTTTTGGATTTTTATCAATTTTAACTATAATAATTGTGATATTTTGATTTTTCATCCATATGCATCTGGTCTAGGATGCAAAAAATGCCACAAACATGGAGAATAACTAAAATATGTCAATTTAATAGCAAAATTGAGCTCATAAATTATCTAAAAATGCAGCAAATTTTACCCAATTTTTGAGTTTCTTAATTTTGTAAACAGAGTTCCCCCAAAAGTGCCCAAAGTGATTCTTATTGCATCTGATAGGGAATTGTCTAAGCTTTCTGATGATACCATGCATTATACCGAACTATTGCAAACCAACAACGATTTCTGTCGTTAAATACCCCAAAAATTGCCTAAAATACACGCCATAAAAAAGGCGCGGTCAAAAATCAGGTGAAAATGTTAAAGTCACACATTTTTTTTTAGATGGCTGAGTATTCTTAAGTACTATACTATATTTCAATTATTAAAAACTGCCTTGATCAGGCATTTTAGCCCAAAATAATAAATATTAGGCAATTTTTGGCTAAAAAAGGCAAAATTTCTTGACAGTGAAAAATGCTATTTTTTCACGCGACGCCATTTTGGCATCTTGCAAAGTTTTTAATTACGGTTTCTTGCATGAAATCGGGCTAGCGTTTTACAATAAGGAAAGCTTATTTTCAAAGAAATTTAAGAAAGTCGATTTTAGGCCTATGCTAGCATGGTAGCCCACTGTGCACCCGCCACTTGACACGCTGGCCTCTGGGACACAACCCGTCGCAGTTTCCGCCATATTCGTTCTCGAAGTTTCTACTCGATCGCTTACAGACAGGACTGCGTTTAGCATTTCGTGACGCGCGCAATTTGCGCGCGCTCGTAAACTGGATTGCTACTTGTATGAAAATATGTGCGTGTACAAACCGTTGAAATTCCGATGTAGGATTACGAGTTAGATTACTAGTACAGACAGATCCGTCTGAAAAAATCGATTTGCCGACACACAAAGCTTACAAAGGATTTTTGACGTTTTTGAGTCCTAATAGATGTCCTTTATGGCTGACCAACTTTTCCAAACTTTTCCACGTGTCTTAAGGCCACTTTTTGCCACTTTACCACTTTTTACCACCTTTCTTGTTTGTCGAATATCTTTAGTTGTGAACATCGTAAAAGGTTGCGGATCAATCGAGTGTGTTCATATTACCATGAAGAAAAACTTTTGTTCTAGCAATTTTTACGTCAGATAATCATTTAATTGGATAATTATCAATTACTATTAGCTAATTAGCAAAATTCTAAAAATTTTTATTGGCTCAAAATGATCGGAATAGCTTAAAACACGGAGAAAAGTAGTTTTTAGAAAAACTTTGAAAATTTTTCACTTACATTTTTTTTCGAGACTTGGAAAAATTTCGAAAATTCAAAAAAAAATTTTCCGCCAAAAGTGATCAAATCGCATGAAACGCGGAGAAAAATGCTTTTCAAAAAAACTTAGTGAATTTTTCGTTTCAAGAATACTTAAATCACCAATATTTGTAGTTGGAGTTCAGTAAATCGCGGCAGATTTTAGTAATCAGGAATTAATAAGTGGAAAGGTATGAAACTGAAAAACGTTAACCATACGATATAAGAGTTTCATAACTAATTACAATACAGCCTTATCGATTTTCACAGAAACTGCACCAATGGCACAGTCAAGATCGAAAGACGAAACGATAGCCTGCTGTACTATCATTTTATTGACTTCAATGATGAATCAGTGGGGTTAAGATAATCACATTTGTAATGAATAAAACCTCTCTGTACCGTCAATTGTGCTAATCTAAACCGGCCTACCTGGATTACCAGACCTCTTCTTTTCCTCAACAATCAAACCAAGTTGTTCATATAGTATTTGGTGGGCGATGTAAGTACTTATCGAGCTGTATTCAATCACAATACGACACAATACGTGTATATTATATGGCTCTTAATGAGGTTTATGAAACGCTTAATACCGTGAGAAACCCGGTATAGAGACGTTTTACAGTTTATCACGAAAACGTATACTTGGCCTCATGGCTCATTTACAGTTCGAAGAAGGCAAGAACAGACCAGGGAAACTAAGGAACAGCCAGATCCAGGAAGCAAGTGTAAATACACCTTCCAACATCTACTGTGACTTGTTTTGTATTGTACTGCATACCGCTTCATTTGCTATGCGGTATAAAATCACCCCCATATGTCAGGGTCGGCTAAAAGTAAAATCAACAAGGGTAACATACGGGCAAGGATAAGATTTAGATACGAGCGTCGGGCAAGGGGTAGTAAAGAACCGGTAATAATTCATTCAGTAAAATGTTCCACGAGGGCCATAATATAATATACACGTATTGCATTGTGTCGTATTGTGATTGAATACAGCTCGATATGTACTTACATCGCCCACCAAATGCGATATGAACAACTTGGCTTGATTGTTGAGGAAAAGAAGAGGTCTGGTAATACAAAACAAGTCACAGTAGATGTTGGAAGGTGTATTTACACTTGCTTCCTGGATCTGGCTGTTCCTTAGTTTCCCTGGTCTGTTCTTGCCTTCTTCGAACTGTAAATGAGCCATGAGGCCAAGTATACGTTTTCGTGATAAACTGTAAAACGTCTCTATACCGGGTTTCTCACGGTATTAAGCGTTTCATAAACCTCATTAAGAGCCATATAATATACACGTATTGTGTCGTATTGTGATTGAATACAGCTCGATAAGTACTTACATCGCCCACCAAATACTATATGAACAACTTGGTTTGATTGTTGAGGAAAAGAAGAGGTCTGGTAATCCAGGTAGGCCGGTTTAGATTAGCACAATTGACGGTACAGAGAGGTTTTATTCATTACAAATGTGATTATCTTAACCCCACTGATTCATCATTGAAGTCAATAAAATGATAGTACAGCAGGCTATCGTTTCGTCTTTCGATCTTGACTGTGCCATTGGTGCAGTTTCTGTGAAAATCGATAAGGCTGTATTGTAATTAGTTATGAAACTCTTATATCGTATGGTTAACGTTTTTCAGTTTCATACCTTTCCACTTATTAATTCCTGATTACTAAAATCTGCCGCGATTTACTGAACTCCAACTACAAATATTGGTGATTTAAGTATTCTTGAAACGAAAAATTCACTAAGTTTTTTTGAAAAGCATTTTTCTCCGCGTTTCATGCGATTTGATCACTTTTGGCGGAAATTTTTTTTTGAATTTTCGAAATTTTTCCAAGTCTCGAAAAAAAATGTAAGTGAAAAATTTTCAAAGTTTTTCTAAAAACTACTTTTCTCCGTGTTTTAAGCTATTCCGATCATTTTGAGCCAATAAAAAATTTTTAGAATTTTGCTAATTAGCTAATTGATAATTATCCAATTAAATGATTATCTGACGTAAAAATTGCTAGAACAAAAGTTTTTCTTCATGGTAATATGAACACACTCGATTGATCCGCAACCTTTTACGATGTTCACAACTAAAGATATTCGACAAACAAGAAAGGTGGTAAAAAGTGGTAAAGTGGCAAAAAGTGGCCTTAAGACACGTGGAAAAGTTTGGAAAAGTTGGTCAGCCATAAAGGACATCTATTAGGACTCAAAAACGTCAAAAATCCTTTGTAAGCTTTGTGTGTCGGCAAATCGATTTTTTCAGACGGATCTGTCTGTACTATACGAGTGTTCAGCCTTCTTGTGGCTTCATCACTGTTAAAAGTATTGGATCTGAGAATTATGATTGTATTTTAACAAATGTACACAAGCTTTTAAGCGCGAAGAATCTTGCTAATAACCTCTGAAGGTATAATTACCGTGTTTTTCAGAAGAACCACACAGAGAGGTAAAAGTGTCTGCTTACCTAAACATGGCAGCTGATATGACGCACAATTTCACGGACGGGCTAGCTATCGGTATGTTTTAAACTGATTCTTGTAAAATTAGCTTATCTTCGTTCAGTTCCCACCAAAACACGAGGTGATGAGATATCTGATGTACACATTGCTTTCTAGCATTTACTAAGCCGCAAATTTGATTTCGTACAGAGAGTTTGATATCCCTCACTCTCCCAGGCTCCTCCTTCTTAATAAGCGATAAGATGGGATACATCACTACATTCCTTATCTTGGTACACGAAATACCTCATGAGATCGGTGACTTTGCTATCCTTGTACAATCTGGATTTACCAAGAGTGATGCTATGAACTTCCAGGTATGCGATCTAATCCTGTGTTTCTCAGACTGATAAATATTTTCTGTTGTGATCTGATTTAAAGGCTCTAACTCTGTTAGAAATATCTGATAACGGTCGTCTTACGAGCCTACATTAAATGTAATTATACCAAATGGCTCATATCGTTCACTTGCAGAAAGTGGAAGTTTAAGATGTGGCAATAACTAGTAATACTGACGTTTGACATATAAACGGACCTCTAAATATTCCTCTTAGCCCAAATGTCAGATATATTTTATGTTACTACTATAACATCTATATATATTATATACCTGACACAAACATATTGTAACATCTTCCCATTTCCAGTTGTTAACAGCCCTTGTAACATCTTCCCATTTCCAGTTGTTAACAGCCCTTGTAACATCTTCCCATTTCCAGTTGTTAACAGCCCTTGTAACATCTTCCCATTTCCAGTTGTTAACAGCCCTTATAACATCTTCCCATTTCCAGTTGTTAACAGCCCTTATAACATCTTCCCATTTCCAGTTGTTAACAGCCCTTGTAACATCTTCCCATTTCCAGTTGTTAACAGCCCTTGTAACATCTTCCCATTTCCAGTTGTTAACAGCCCTTATAACATCTTCCCATTTCCAGTTGTTAACAGCCCTTATAACATCTTCCCATTTCCAGTTGTTAACAGCCCTTGTAACATCTTCCCATTTCCAGTTGTTAACAGCCCTTATAACATCTTCCCATTTCCAGTTGTTAACAGCCCTTGTAACATCTTCCCATTTCAGTTGTTAACAGCCCTTATAACATCTTCCCATTTCCAGTTGTTAACAGCCCTTGTAACATTTTCCCATTTCCAGTTGTTAACAGCCCTTGTAACATCTTCCCATTTCCAGTTGTTAACAGCCCTTATAACATCTTCCTATTTCCAGTTGTTAACAGCCCTTGTAACATCTTCCCAATTCCAGTTGTTAACAGCCCTTGTAACATCTTCCCATTTCCAGTTGTTAACAGCCCTTATAACATCTTCCCATTTCCAGTTGTTAACAGCCCTTGTAACACCTTCCCATTTCCAGTTGTTAACAGCCCTTGTAACATCTTCCCAATTCCAGTTGTTAACAGCCCTTGTAACATCTTCCCATTTCCAGTTGTTAACAGCCCTTGTAACACCTTCCCATTTCCAGTTGTTAACAGCCCTTGTAACATCTTCCCATTTCCAGTTGTTAACAGCCCTTATAACATCTTCCCATTTCCAGTTGTTAACAGCCCTTATAACATCTTCCCATTTCCAGTTGTTAACAGCCCTTGTAACATCTTCCCATTTCCAGTTGTTAACAGCCCTTGTAACATCTTCCCATTTCCAGTTGTTAACAGCCCTTGTAACATCTTCCCATTTCCAGTTGTTAACAGCCCTTGTAACATCTTCCCATTTCCAGTTGTTAACAGCCCTTGTAACATCTTCCCAATTCCAGTTGTTAACAGCCCTTATAACATCTTCCCATTTCCAGTTGTTAACAGCCCTTATAACATCTTCCCATTTCCAGTTGTTAACAGCCCTTATAACATCTTCCCATTTCCAGTTGTTAACAGCCCTTGGTGCTCTAGTAGGAACTGCTGGAGGGTTACTCGCTGAGAGTTTCTTCGCTTCCGCTTCCCTGTTCATCTTGCCCTTCACTGCAGGTATTTTATTACACTTTATACAGTTGTGGAGCTCTTTAATGGGCTCGGAAAAACGATTAGGTTGCTTGTATCTCAATCTCTATATTACTGTAAAGCACTTACACCGGGACAGTCAACTCTTGCTTACTCTGCTCTAGCTAATTTTACCTTATTTCAGGTGGATTTATATACATAGCGACAGTAACTGTCCTGCCTGAGTTGCTGCATGGAGGTTCCTCGCTGTGGCAAGGAGTAAAGGAGATATCAGCTCTGACAGTTGGAATCGGAATCATGGTTTTAATCGCAGAGTATGAGTAGTTTCCTCTGTTCTTTTAAATTAAATTTTGGGTATTCAGATCATAAAAATGGTTTTAGCTGTTTTGGTATATTTATTGTGTTTTAACTAATTTGCATGCGAGGGGTCATAAGATGCTTTCAGTCTACTTTTTGCTGAGTTTCAATAAAAATGGTTCACAATTCCTTGTAAAGTAAAGCAGTCAATTGTTATTGAGACAACATATAACTGTGGACCGCTTCCAGCTTCACTAACCAGAATTATATAATGTTGACTAAAGGATTGACATTGTTAGTTTATGATTGATCTGATCTACTTAAATTGATTTTAAAAGTTACCCAACAAAATCGAAGGCTCCAATTTGAGTATTATAGGCTTACCTTAGGGCCAAAGACCGTTCACAAGTTACGTATTACTACAGAATAAGGTGGAATAAAATTAGCGACATCATTTCCCCACTTTCACCTTTCTTTTCTACACGTAAAATTTTACAAAGACTTTCTCCCCGCTGCCGTGAATACATTATCTAAAATCAGAAAACGTATTTGTATTCTATACACTATAATTGATATGATAGTATTAATCTTATTATATGGTTTCGGCATTTCTGCATGAAATGAATGATTTGTTAGGTATGTACATTGTGCTTACAATTTGCATTATATGCATGACTTTATTTTTCCATTTTTATTACTGGTAAACATTTATTTTAACCCTTCTTTTGAATCCCTGTTAACCAATATTTTTATGTAATATAATTTATTATTCTAATCCAAGTTACAGTTGAATTTTGGCTCGATGGTTCTGATTTGCATTGTAGTGGTTTCGAATTTCCATGCAATTTTTATGTTAGATAAATTAATTCGGTTGTAAACAGTAAAAGAATTTTGATTTTAATCATTGCATCACTTAACTATTTTGGCAAAACATTTCTTTTTTTCTGAATATTCTATTGCTTGATGTGAAACCAAGAATTATCATTTTGTCAGATGAAATAGAGCACATACACCACAAGGTGTCTGTCGTTACATATTCATCCCATTTGAACGAAAACCTATTAAATCTTAGTTAAATTTGGCCATTGTTCAGTCGGGAGAAAGTACAATTCTTAGCCTTTCAAAAGTATTCCAAGCGATCTGTATAATATAAGTTTGATACACGTTGTAACCCGCTTTCGCGCGCTCCGACAGGAGTCAGAAGTGCACGCTTCACCGTCGCGTGTATGGTGTACGAGAGTTTTAGCGCGATGCACTACTTAACTGGGCCGCGCATCTTCTCGCAACCACAACCTTCGGTAGATCGGCGAAATGTACCACTGAGCCTCGCTGAGCTGCGAAGGATTGACATCGTGAATCAAGTACGAGTCAGATAAGAGAGGCTTACAACGTGTAATTGCATATATTTAATGTGGTTACCTGCGCACCCAGGCTATAATGTTCAAAAAAATAAAGAATTGGTAGAATGACAGGCCGCGCCGCCCAGTGAGCACGAGCGAAATAATAGGAGCCCTTTCTTTTGTATTGCCAAGCTTAACCACATAATTAATAATGATAAATAATGGTCGGCTACAGGCTAAGCAACGTTTACCTGGGGACCTCAGGCTATCATGTTCATAAACACAATAGAGATTAGGCGGAATGACAGACTGAGCGCGGCCCAGTAAAGCAACGTGAAATCTTGTAGCACGATGCACTACTGCGCCGCGCATCAAATAATTATTCTCGCAACCACATATGCAAATCGGCGAAATGCGAAGGATTGACATTGTGAATCAACGTGAAATCGTGCATACAAGTCGGCCTCCGCGAGCGAAAAGAGGCATACGCGTACGACGTGTATTTGGTATGTGTCCATTGTTAGTGGACTTACTGAGCGGCGCTCAGTCTGTCATTCCGCCGAATCTCTATGTTTATAAACATTATAGCCTGGAGTCCCCAAGTAATAATAAACTAGCCCTAAGCGCGTTACTTCGTAGCAATTGCTTAGGGCGCTTTCAAGAAAAAAGCGGCGCGCGCTACTTCGAAGAAATTTAGACGAGTAACATTGAACATCCGTCAAACAAATGGTTGTAGCGTGATGCGTTACTGGGCCGCGCCGCGCACTCAATTATGCTTCTCGCAATCAACCTCGCCGAGATGCGAAGAATTGACATCGTCAATTAAACAAATGGCAGTGTTTGATCGAAAATTTGGTTTCAGCCCCCCGTGGTTGCTCTAACCAGAGCCCTCTCGCTTGCAGTATAGTAGCAGTACGCAGTACGCGTATACACATGGCTATATGAACCCCTGTGGAGTGAAAATAATCAAACTTCGTTCAAGTGGGTATTTCTCGGAAAGGAAAAATTTAGGCAAACATAATACGACTATTATATTTTTGAGCTGATTTAATACGATTGCAGATTGCAGATTGCAGAAAATTATTTCAAATTTAAGCAAAAAAACACATTTCGACCACTTTTTTGTATTTTTAACCGAGAAAATTCTGGAATAGTAGCTTAATTTTAATGCCATCATGTGCGGCTGTGTTTCAACTATATTCATGCAAATTTCGTTGATATGCCAACGAAATTAACTTGCTCAAAACTTTTAAAAACATGGTTTTCGGCTTATTTTTGCCCCAAAAATCGGTTAAAAAATCAAAGTCATTTATTGCCATACTAGATCTTAACTTGGAGCCACAAGGCCAAGGGTAATTTTTGATTTTTTAGGAAACTTTTTTAATTCTTAAAGGGTGGATTTTATATAGGGTCATTGCTATATTATGTGTATACTGTTTGAATAATTTTATACTATATATTTATTGCCTTTAATAAAGACTGGGTACTGTCCTTATTATATAATCTGTCCAGTTCGACAATGAGTTTATCAAGTAAAACAAATTTTTTTTAGTAAAACAAATTTTATTTTATACCCACAATCAATTCATATTTAGTTCAAATATTTAAAGTCAAAATAACTATTTCACATAAGTGGTTATATTATAATAAAATAATTTGTGATAAATTAATAAATTAATTTACACTCAAAAATGAACAAAATATACGTACAATTTTTACCTAGTGCAACACTGGTTCAGCGCGCGGCTGATCGAAAAAGTTTGATTTGATTTACTAACTACAGTGTACAGCGTACATGAAAAAATTACTTACTGAATCTTTTAATACTAGACACATTTTAATTCAGATGTTGTTCAATGAGTTAGCCACAAAAATGTTCAAATTATGTAGGAGGGTAAAGGACACAATTGCTAGTAGTGCTTCTTTGTGCCCGTTGACTACAATGAACATTTTGCGGAGTTTCTCCAGACGGCTTTTATCGGAGTGCGTGTTATTTACTTGGTTATGCACAAGCCAGGCCAACATTTTGTTTTTGTGTCAGCCGTGCTACCAGGTTGCAGAGTATTATAAACACTAAACAATTATACACTATACAAATTTGCTAATACAATATCATGCAGAGTCCGATCTAGCTGCAAACGTCAGACACCACAGTTCAGCCGCCAAGTACCGTTTAAGTGAACACCGAAACACGAGGTTTAGGTGTCATTTTGTAAATCACTTTATGGATGGATAATTCAGTAATTGTTGAAGAAAATTACAGTCACTGCCACCTATAGCGTTATGTCATGGGTCTGATTAACGGCCAAGAATAAACGTACGTGCGCGCTTAAGAAACCCGCGCAAATGTTGAGGTAGGGAGTAGCTGCGGCGCGCTTTTAACATATATTACGTATAGCGCCGTACGGAAACGGCAATATTTAAGTAATTAAGTATTTGTTTACATAAATTCCACGTTTTTATCAATAATCTAGCATGGTCCAAAACTGTTAAAGTTGTCATTATGCCACTCATTATCGAACCTGCTTTGGGCATCTAGAAGAGATCGGTTTAGCCTTGATTTGATTGAGTTACAGGATGTGTTCACAAAGTCAGGTTTATTCTGTGGATTGGAGTCCTTGAATTGATTCCAAAGCCAAGAAGATTTATAAATAAAGTTATGGCTTGGCTTTGGTGGTATTAGACGGTCATCCCTCAGTTCAGACATGTTAAGTAAAGAGTAGAGAGATATGGGTACCCTATATTTCACTATTTTAAAAAGTTCAGTTATAGTACGAAGTTTGTAAAGATTATGAACAGTAAGGAGTTTATGACTGTTAAATAATGGTTTGGTTGATTCCTTGGAATAGAATTCAGCTCCTAGTTTTTGACAACATAAGGGTCTAACAAGTTTATTATGAACTACCGATTTAGAGCGGACACACTTTGCACATGGTTTAATACGTGGATTAACAGAGTTATTAACATTAGACTCATATTTACCCAGTATTTTACATTGAATAGGTCTAGAACGAGCACATGTTTTGAATTTGTTTTGGTATGAGTTTGCATCTCCAAAAATTATTCTAATACATCTCTTCTGTGTTAAGAATACAGGGTTGATAACTTGGTTAGAGACACCACCCCATACTGAGATGGCGAACGTAAGGTGTGATTCAAATAGTGTGTGGTATATCTGCTTGTGCAGTTTTATAGGTAGACAGTTTTTTATGCGGTAAATACGTCCACAAGCACTTCTTAGTTTCTTATTTAGTGATTCGATGTGAGGTTTCCAGTTCAGTTTATCATCAATCAGCACACCTAGAAACTTAGTTGTTTTAACACGTATTATTATGGAGCCGTCTATGGAGAGATTTAAATCATCGGGTGTACTGCATATCAACTCCATCTTCAGCCCGTAGTACATCTATTGTCATGTTTATAGAGACCTCTTGTAGCTTTCCTTTCATGTTCATAATCAGTTTACTAGCTTGTTGTTTCTTTGTTGCTGCGGTGCCAAGCTGCCATATTAAAACTTGTTTTCCATGCGCTATAATCAGCGCTGTCGTCTAAAACTGGTATCTTACAAAGACTTAAAATCTATCTCTAAAATTGTCTCTAATAAAAAATTAGTCTCTAATTGTCTCTAAATAATAAACAAAGTTCCATGTACAAAACCTGTAAAACAAATACGCAACTGCCTGCCCCAACCGGTTATCTCTGGTGACTTGTCATTGCTAGAAATGATAAACTTGGTTATATTGAAGTCTATCACAGAAAAGGAAATAAAGGTGTTATCAGACTAACATCTGTGGCGTTGCTCTAACCAGAGCCCTCTCGCTTGCAGTAGCGCGTGACCGCCGAAGGTGGAAAAGATATTCTACTTGTGAAACAAGCGCGTCATGCAGTACGCGTATACACATAGCTATGTGAATCTGTGGCGGGTGTAGTGGAAAGACACAAAATCGTCTTTCAGCCGATTAAAATGTAGCACGCACTTTAAACACAACTCAATTACCATAAGACCAATCAAAATGTCGCTCTCAAATCTTTGCACATACACTTTTGAACACCGTTACCATGGTTACTATGCAACTTCCTATTTTTCATATTAGGACGTTGTGTGTGGGCAGCCAATGTTAATTCAGAGAAGCAATGACACACGTTGATAAGTCAGGAAAGAAGTCAATAGATATACAAAGACCCCACGGCTAACAGAGACATCATATATATAACATACTCCTGAAATATAGGGAGTTAACTCACATTCAAATATAGATACAAACATATAAAATATAATAGGAGAATATCAAGTTCACAATCTCCCTAAACTTTCTCTCAAATATTAAAAATGTTTAAATATTAAAAATCCCTAAAAACAACATACCCAAGTATCAAACTGGGCTACCTTTAAAACACAGATTCTGCCGTGGGTCAATTCAATCAAAACAATAGAATTATATCAAATAATTCATTCTCATTCATTCACACTTTTTATTTTAAAAGTTCAGTTCTAACTTTCATTATACATTACAGTTTAATAGTTCAATTCCAACGTTCATTACACATTACATCAATTACTGAGCTTACAATACAGAGTACTGTCTCAGTTCACTAGGAAGTGTCCCTTTTTCTAACACCTCACGCAACAAAGACGAAGATGCACCAGCCTTTGTCAAACAGTCTGCAAGCTGGAGATTTGTTGGAACCCACACATAACGTACTTCATTTCTGTTGAATCGTTGTCTTAGACAAGCCATGGGAATCCTCAACCCTTTGTCTTCAAGGGTGTTTGTTGTTTTCACAGCATCAAAGAGAGACTTGCAATCCGTTATACAGACTATAGGAACATCTATTTTCACAATTTCATTCCACTGCGCTTTAATCAGCTCAGCAGACTCCAGGCCGTCAACTAATGCCCAACTTTCAGCAGCTAATGTGCTCTTACATACTTTCTTTATCTTTCTACTCTGCCATGTAAGTGGACAGCACTGACCAGATCGGTCAACCATCAATACAAGATGCCCACCTTGTGAGGATCCATCAGCCAGGTTACCAAAGGAAGCATCACTGAATACAACCATTGTTGTGTGTTGAAGGTCAAGTGAAGGAAACCTGATTGACAGTGGGTTTTTCTGCATAAACACAATTGTCTTGTTCACCAGTTTCAGATCTTTGATCGTTCCCGAAGCATAGGAGTTGGATGCAATGCATGTGCCATACGCAATATCTGGTCGTGACTGTGTTGCTGCCCAGAGCAGCTGTCCTGCTACTGATCGCAACTGACTTCTTTCTGCCTCATTGATTGGACATGCATTCAGTTTTACTTTGTTCTGGTCGATTTTGATTCTGCTCACTTGATTTACATAACCCAGCTGTGATATTTTGATTGCCCTGTAACTTTGACTGAGATCGAGCCCAGTGTACGTAAAGGATGTATCGACTTCCATACTGAGCTTGTATTTCATTTTTAAGGCACCAATGACCTCTTTGATGAATATTTCCAGTCCTCCAAACATAAGATCATCAACATGGATCACTATGATCCCACACGGCTTATCATTTCTCTGTAAAAAGAAAAATGATTCATCGTACACTGACACTGTTACACCAAGCTCTACTAGGGTATCTCTTAGTTCGACATACCACATTCTTGGACCATCGACCAAGCCATAGATGCATTTGAGGAGTTTCCACAATTTTCCAGATACCTTAGCTTCATTTGGTGGTTTAATGTATACTGTTCTTGAGATATCTTTTCCCTGTAGAAAAGCAGCCTGTACATCAATGTGCTGCAGTTTCCAATGCTCTGCTTGCAAAAGAGTAATTGCCAATCTGATTGAGTCCCTACTGCATGTTGGGGAATCTGATCGTATTGCTTGATTTTTCTCCTGATAGCCTAGAGCAACTAACCGTGCCTTGTACACATTCGTGGTATTCTTTATCTTCTTTGTGATTACCCACCTCACACCAATCGTTTTCTGACCTTCATCAGGAACTTCCTCATAGACTTTATTGGTACAAAACTTTTCAAGCTCTGCCTCCTTAGCATCAACAATTGCTTGTTCACATGAATCTGTAACGCTTGTAAACATAACTTCATGTTCCTGCTCCTCTTCTGTATCTTCGTGCCATTCCTCTGTTAACTCAAACCAGTCGACACAATGAGTTTCTTCCTCCCCATCAAGCTGAATGTTCAGGCAGTTTTTGTATTTTCCTCCAGCCTTACCTGCTCTACTAAGGATGTAAGCCTTCTCCCAGACATCCTCTTCTCCCTCTTCAGGGTACTTGGGTTTGTACATCACAGAAGTTTTCGTCTTAGGCAGGTTTTTATTTCCATTACCATTAACACTGGCTGTGCTTACAGGAGCACTAGAAGGAGTATCTATTTCATCAGTTATTTGCGCCTGAGCCAATGGCAAACTGTCATTTTCATCCAGATTTCTTTCTTCTGTTCTTGTCATATTTTTCTCAAAGTCAGATAATTCATCATCGTTCGATTCTGAAGGAGCTTTGACACTGACGGGATCACTTTTGTCCTTCAAATTACCAGTTTCTTCTAATTCAGGGACATATGTTGGCTTAATGTGACAAGGATGTACCTTGATGATTTGAAATCCATGCTTTACAACAAACGTCTGACCATCCCGACCTATGACAACACCTGGTCCATGCCAGGAGTCACTGTTGTTTCTTTTATAGAAAATCTTTTCCCCTGGATCGAGATGAACATCATTACATGTTCTGACCTGGCTTTTCAAAGCTCTCATGATCTTGGAACTATTCTCTGCTCTTATAAACCCCTCTCTGGCAATCCTCATTGCTCTTAGATGATTCTCTACAGTTTCACTACAGACACTACTACTCGATTCCATTGCAGGAAGCTTACTGTCTATCACATTGGGGAAAGATGGATTTCTACCCATAACCAACTGCATGGGTGAATACCCACCCGTCATTTGTAAAGAGTTTTTAGCACTAAGTGCCCAGCTCAAAGCTGTTTTCCACGAACAATTCGAATCTTGCTTTGTCTTTATCATACTTTCAGCTAGAACTTGATGATGGCGTTCAACCATACCATTGCTAAAAGGACTTTCAGCTGCCGATTGTTGTGATTCGATATTGAATCTCTCACACATTTCTACATATTCTGCATTAGAAAACTCCCCTCCATTATCGGCCATAAAACGGCGGGGAGGCCAGAACTGTGCTATCCACCCAGAACAGATTGCCTCTACAATTGTCTCTTTTCGTTTATTTGGAACCAACAATGCAACTGAATATCGTGTAGCACAGTCAATCATGTGCAGAAATGTTACCTCTCCCTGGACCGTTTTCAAGTCCATAGCTACACAATCATTAAACACTGTTCCTCGTGGGAGACCAACTACTGGTCTGGGCTTTGGCTTAGAGTATCTTTGACACACTTCACACTTTTGGCATACATCCTCTAGTACCTCAAGAAATAGTTTAGAGTCAAAACCTGCATTCTTTAGGAGGGTCTTTAGTTTGTACATCGGTGCATGGGCAAACTGTCTGTGGAGTTTAAGTGCCTTTTTCGCCATAAGCTTTTTGTTGTTCCCACCAAAAGTTTCATCTGTAACTGTGAGAAATACTTTCACACTGGAGTCCACAAGACTCCTCTTTTTGTTACAGATAGGCACACAATAGTGTCCAGATTTGCACTCCAAAAGGGGTATTTTCTCTCCATTGAACTCGAGAGTATCTTCAAGAAAGTTAAGGATTGCACCAACCTTTTTTAATGCAGGCTTGCTCAGCAGAAGAGGAATATCACATTTGACAACATTTGCCTCAATCAAGATTCTTTTGCTTCCGATTCTTCCAGGAATTTTAATGAGCTTATTTGACACAACTGACTTACCATCTCCAAACGTGAAAGGTGTCTGGCAGCTAGTTGAAGACATCATGATCCCTCTCTCAGCATCATCAAGTGTTTCTATGTACTGGCTGACCCAATTCTCGCCAACGACAGATTTTGTACAACCTGAATCGATAACTGCACAAGAAAGAGTCTCAAAAACTAGTGAATTCACTTCACTGTTTTGCTGGTAAAGCACAGACTCTGGATCAGCCACTGTAGTAAGCAATGTTATGTATGTACGTGACAATGAGTCATCTACTTCCATCTCAGCAGGTTGACCTTGAACCAAGAAATTTCTCGATGTCCCTTGTTCAGATCTCCAATTTGGGTTTGGTGCTGCTTGATTAGTACACTCTCTTGAGTAGTGACCATTCTTCCCACAGTTGAAGCAATTGATCTGAGATCTGGGCCTCTTACCTCTCACATACGGATTCCCCTGATTTCTAAGAGTTCCCCTACTCCTCATGGGACCTCCTCTATCTTGTCCTCTACTCCGTCTGTAACCATGGGAGGTAAAATTACATGACTCTTCTGGTTCAGTCTTGATACAAGACCCCGTCACTTGGTCAAGTCCTGATCTGTTCACATGTACAGAAAAAATCTTTGATATCGTTGAGATCATTTCTGCATATGTAAACGCTTTAACCGTTGCCAGTGCAAGATCCACTTTTTCACTTGACAGATTTGCACTGTTTAGAACTCTATATGCTAGTATTGCATCTGGCAGTTCCATCTTGTGTTTCCTCAGGTCTTCATACAACTTAGCGAATTCAGAAATAAATGCCTGAAGATTCATACCCTCTTGACGTTCAAACTTTTCAAATCGACAATATGCTCGATATGCCATGTGAGATGAGTCCTCCTGGTATATACTGTCCAGGCGTTTTATAACTTTGTCCAACCCGTCATCAGCAGTTAAGACGTCTATTCCTAACGATCTCACATGGTTCTTCACCGGTCCCTCAGACAATTCCAAAAGGAATGCAGTTGCCCGACGCTTCTTTTCGTAGGATGTGAAAGTATTCCATAGGTCAATATCCAACCGCCAGTCTTCATAATTCTGACCTTCCTTGTATGCCGGTGGGGCCTTTTGTGGTCCAACAGCTTTCCTTTCTACCACCTTATCTTCACCTGTCATTTTTGAACCACTTCCTGCTACCAATGTTAATTCAGAGAAGCAATGACACACGTTGATAAGTCAGGAAAGAAGTCAATAGATATACAAAGACCCCACGGCTAACAGAGACATCATATATATAACATACTCCTGAAATATAGGGAGTTAACTCACATTCAAATATAGATACAAACATATAAAATATAATAGGAGAATATCAAGTTCACAATATATACATACAGAGATGATTCTTTGAATTATAAGTAAGATACCTCTCTGAACATCTCACCCATCTATCAGCAGCCATCAGAATTTAAACACCTTTAGATTTAGCTCAACGGTGGGAGCATTCATATTCTGTTAAAAATGCTTACACTCATCGAAATCAACTACTTGTTGCTCCATCTAGGTTGTTATCACAGTTTGTCAGCATTTTTTTTGAAAACCTTTCTCTCATTGGACCCTTGACACCCATTGAATACCCTGGGTTTAACGCACAATGATGTTACCAAAACATTGGGGTATTTTTTGTTACAAAATTCAAATAAACTTTACATCAATGCAATGTATTACAACTTTATATTTAGAAAAGACCACAATATCTCCTGTGAGGCTAGAAAAATATGGCTAAAAAAATTTTGTTTTACTTAATAATAATATATCAATTTATCTAACCACGTAATGGACCGGACCTTCGCATACTGCATAACGCGCTTGTTTCATATGAAAAAGAATGGCGCATTCTACTGCAGGTGCAAGGGGTCTCACGTTATAGCAAATATAACATTTATAAAGTAAAATATATAATATTCCAAGATGGGCCGTCTAATCAGGCCAGCATAGTGCATACGTCAGAAGACCACAGAAATTCAGTTAGCTTTGTTTTGAAAACGGAAATTTTCTCAGTCTGTCTAACATAGGCTGGTTATGCATTCCACAGAAGCATTGTTCTATAAAAGAAGCTGTTTCTGAAACTATCGCAGTTCAGTACAACAGAGCAGGTATATGTGCTGGTGTCAAGTCCTTCAATGACTGACGCTGTGCTCCTTGTGTACCTCATTGTTTTAGCCTCAACAACAGTAATATATTCAGGTAGAGATATACTTTCTAAACCATTTACTATTTTATAGAAGAGCGTAATTAAATTATGGATGAACTTACATCTAATCGGTAGAATTTTAAGCTCCTTCTGCTTCTCATAGAATACAATATCACTATAATGATCAAACTGTTGTCCATTAATCCATTTGATCGCCCTTTCCTGGATTGCCTCAAACTTCGACAGGTGTGTCGATCACTGAGGACACCAGATTGTTGTATTGATTTTTGATTTTTTTGATTTTGTATCGATTTTTATATTTTATATTTCTGTTGGAGAGGAAGTCAACGAAAGTTTTGGGTGCTTTTTCAACTTTTAAATTATCATGAGACCAATCGATTTGGTTTTAATCAGCAAAAAATGACTTTCTATAATAATTTGATATTGATTGTGACCAAACATTTTGGCCAATTTTTGTGTGCTGAATTTGATTGTAGCTGAAATAAAGATGTAAATAGTGGAATAAAACTAAGTTTGCAGTTTTAAATAAATCACCTTACTACTTAGGGTGCATGCTTGGGAGAAGACTTGGTACATGGACTTTAACGGTAAGACATTGGAGATTTGTGTAGTTAGATAACTAATTAAATAACTAATTAAATAACTAATTAAATAACTAATAAAATAACTAATTAAATAACTAATTAAATAACTAATTAAATACCTAATTAAATGTTGTTTATTATCTGTAATCCTGTAAACTGGCAAACTACTTAAAGTATAATGCTGCGATGTCATATTCCAATGGTTTATTATCTATAAAATGTAGGAATTTATATATATTTATATATAAACTAAGATAAATTGAATTAATTTTCTGCTTTACTTTGACTGAAGTTGTTCTTAAATTGAACTTTATGTTCAGTACACCAAAGGGCTCCAGCAGCACCAGCAAGCCAACCAGAACTGTTTGAAGATACCAGTACTCCGCAACAGGTATAACATAGTGGTTACTAGTGTGGTTACTAGGGTTACACCTTTTAAACTGATGTTTCTTTCATTCAAATTTCTGATTGTTTGATTTCAACACTACTAAATAACAAATAATTTGAGAATATGAGTATGACGTAAAAATGTCGATACGTTATTCAGCTATTTATTTTCATTAGAATCTGTCTTCACTGAGTCTATTCAGAAACAATCAGAAATTTGAATGAAAGAAACATCAAATCATGCTCGACTCAATAACTCTACACAAATCCACCAGAATACCTGTTTAACTGTGAGAATGTCTAGCGTGGTCGTATGTGGTTACTAGGTGTATACTGTAACTAGGGTGGTTACTAGGTGTATACTGTATACTGTAACTAGGGTGGTTACTAGGGTGGTTACTAGGTGTACACTGTATACTGTAACTAGGGTGGTTACTAGGGTGGTTACTAGGTGTATACTGTATACTGTAACTAGGGTGGTTACTAGGGTGGTTACTAGGTGTATACTGTATATTGTAACTAGGGTGGTTACTAGGGTGGTTACTAGGTGTATACGTTATACTGTAACTAGGGTGGTAACTAGGGTGGTTACTAGGGTGGTTACTAGGTGTGTACTGTATACTGTAACTAGGGTGGTTACTAGGGTGGTTACTAGGGTGGTTACTAGGTGTATACTTTATACTGTAACTAGGGTGGTTACTAGGGTGGTTACTAGGTGTATACTAGGACGAGTGGGTAGACACAGTACTAATTTGTATGATATCATTGTGAAAAAGGACCTATTTAAGAGACAAATTTATTTGAAAAATGAAGATGATTTTACCAACTTAGTGAACTTAGCAAGAGATAGAGTAGGATGGAGGAGTTTATTTACTTTGAGACATATTGAACGAATGAGTCTTCGTAAGCGTAAATAGGCCAGCACTTTGCTGAGCCTCTTTAGGTGCTCTTTTGTTTATAGATGTTATTATATATATATATATACTAGGTGTATACTGTATACTGTAACTAGGGTGGTTACTAGGTGTATACTGTTAACTGTATACTGTAACTAGGGTGGTTACTAGGGTGGTTACTAGGGTGGTTACTAGGTGTATACTGTATACTGTAACTAGGGTGGTTACTAGAGTGGTTACTAGGTGTATACTTTATACTGTAACTAGGGTGGTTACTAGGGTGGTTACTAGGTGTATACTGTATACTGTAACTAGGGTGGTTACTAGAGTGGTTACTAGGTGTATACTTTATACTGTAACTAGGGTGGTTACTAGGGTGGTTACTAGGTGTATACTGTATACTGTAACTAGGGTGGTTACTAGGGTGGTTACTAGGTGTATACTGTATACTGTATACTGTAGGTGTATACTGTATAATCACTGCCCTGATTTAGTTTAAACAAAAAGTTATGAAATAAATAACAATTAACCAGCATCGAAATTTGCCAATTTAAGTGAAGATTATATCTTATAATATTAATAGCTAATGCGGTTAGATGCATAGCATTTTCTGCAAACGTTTGCGGATGTAAAACACATATTTCTCCCGTATTTCTATTTTCTAAGTACATATGAACTGATCGATGCATTAAATATAATGGCTTATACTTCATCCGCCATTTTCACTTGAATCTCGAGAGTTAGGCCCGGAGAGTACTTAATTGGGTGACCTAGGAATTCCAGGTGCCGTATCTATTCGGAGCTAATCCTAATATTATAACATTGTTATCAATAACAGGGAATTATTCCACAATTATCATCATAATAGGCATTGTCCATCGCAGATCAAGTTTTAGAAGCATCATTTATAACCTGTATATTGTATATACATATATTGTACATACATATATTGTATATGGACACGTTCATTTGAGTTTGAGGATATTGGTAAACAAAAATAATAGCGTTTTTGACGATAGTGGCTTAATTTTGACATCTATTAACCTAACACGTTCAGAAGTTCTGAACATTAGCCACGTAACCCATACTCCCATATGCACCGCTCAGAAATAAAATCTATTGTTGTTAGGCACTGTAATGTTTCAAATGTCACATTTTGTGTGACTTAGTTAACTGCAGTTGTCTAATTATCATTCCTTGGTCTGAAATATAGTAAATTAGGTCAATCTAACAATTATGATACAACATTGGTTAATGGGCACGGATCGAACGGTTACAAGGCAATATTTGGGTAACTTTGTCACACTCATGATACCATACCTCTATTCTACTGTGAGGTGTCCTAAAAACCCTTTCAACTCATTATTTGATGGTTGCTCTACCAATCATAGCCCTAAAATATGTTGTTTTGAATAGTTAGCTAATACAGGCACTTGGTTATTGGGAAATGAGGTTAATTCTGTCACAATATATGAAATTTAAAATTTTGGGCGAATTATTTATATCTGATTTTGGTTTGAAAGGCGGGAAAATTTTATATGATGACAATGTAGTTGATGCAAGTTAAGATCAGTTGATGTTTAAATTGTCACAAAAAATTATACGAAATCGTAAATAGATTAAAAACAATGATTATAGAATGAAATAGTCTCTTATAATAACTCTTATAATAACTGATGTGACAAAGTAAACATGTCTTGCCCCTATTTTGAAGATCTATATTCTATACCTCTATTAGAATATTGTCCAGAACGTCAGAGCTTAAGTTTAACAATTTTAGGTTAAATTTGTCCAAGTCACTAAAAATGTGACAAAATTAACTTTTCATGCCCCAACAATTTCAAGATAGTGTGTAAAAATTAGCATAGGCTGCTTTATTACCTATATAAATCAATCCAAACTACAAAAAAATATATGTTAATGTGATGACGATTACCTAACTCTTATAATAACTGATGTGACAAAGTAAACATGTCTTGCCCCTATTTTGAAGATCTATAACTCTATTAGAATTCAACATTCTTTCAGAAACGATTGGAAGAATATTGTCCAGAACATAAGAACTCAATTTCTAAAATTTAGATTAATTTGTCAAAGACATTGAAAATGTGACAAAATTAACTTTCCCTGCCCCAACAGTATCAAGATAGTGTGTTAAAATTGGCATAGGATTTATTACAGGTATATTAAAGTATTAATCGATCCAAACTACGAAAAATATCTTTTAATCTGATGACGATTACCTAACTCTTATAATAACTGATGTGACAAAGTAAACATGTCTTGCCCCTATTTTGAAGAACTATACCTCTATTAGAATACTATGTAACTTTATCATCAAAAAAATTTCGATAAACTAGTTATTTTGCCAGCAAGGAGCTAACAGAGCTAAAATAATTTTTTGTGACGAAATTACCCTATTTTTGACCATGTAGCGGTAGTTTAATTGTGACACTGTTAACATATTACCACCTGATAATGATTTATGTGACTGGTGCATGGTACTAGCAGTGTTGTTTGATCCATAGTACGTATAATATAAGGGGTTTAAGCTGGTATATCATTATTTGTTCAATTTCACACATGTTCAGATATCATCAAGATTATGTGACAAAGTAAGCTTGGTTGTGCCTTCTGTGTTTTAATTCCTTACGACTATATGATATAATAAAAATTCCCAGCACTTCCAGGCCATCAAATAAACTTACACTACTCAGCATTGCTTATCAGGGTGCCCTAAACATTCATCACATATTTTCTTTAATGTGTGACAGAGTAAACCTGAGTGCACCATCTAACGAAAAAAGTCGTCAAATATGTAGGTAATGGTCATATGAACCCATCCAATCAACTGGACACTCAAAAATTTGGTCAAAAACGGCAGCAAGGGGTCCATATTTACTCCGTCACATGTTTATAGTGTGACAATGTAACCATTTCCGTGCCGGCCGTATTTGAGCGATATCTTATCACCTGATTAAGATATCGTTATGTGACAAAGTTAGCCTGGAGGATGAGACGATTATCCTAACCATCAAGGGTTTAAGTAATTTCATAGTGTGACAAAGTCAACTACACTGTGCCTTTTAATAGGGTCACTTATATTTACCAATATCCTCAAACTCAAATGAACGTGTCCATATACATAATAAGACCTATTCAGTCTTGGTCTGTCAATGATCAAAAATAAATAAAATTGACAGTACTAAGAGATGATTTGAGACGAACAGTTCACAGTCTAAAAATCTCTACGACCTTCAAAAAAAATTGGACTTCTCAAATCTCATAAAATTTAGAAATCGGCCAACAAACTTAAAATTGGCAAAATGTGCAGATTTGCTGCCTTAGTGGCACTTCCTGTTGGGAAATGGCTTTTAACAGTTCTAGTGTCATCGGATCCGACCTAACTATTAGATAATCTATACGATCTTATGTAGTAGTAGTAGTAATGTACTTATGATAAGAGATGTTCATCTCAGCCGGTGATATTTGGTGGATTATTCTGGATCTATCCTACAGTAAGCTCATTTTGGGAGAGCATGTTTTATCTTGTATCTAACAAGATCCAATTTACATGGTTTATAATTTACTGTTCTTTGTTTCCTCCCCTCTTCTCCCCATCATATTCTTACTGCAGCTATATTTTAGTTTACTGTAGACACAGTACTATACTATCCTGTGTAATCCTGTGTAGTACTATACTATTGTGCTATCCTACACTATATAACTTTGACAACTATTATAAACCTCGCCGTTATATCGATTGAACACCACAATTTCAGTCCTTTAAAATGAGTTTCAGTCTAGAACAATCTGACATTTTCTCTCGACTGACAGACAAGGTGTCCTCCCCTCTCCTCACTAATTAAAATACATCGCGAACTATTGATAAGTCTTCTGGTTATTATCATGTATATCTCGCTACGGTTTACTTAGAGTTTTAATGGAAGACTTTATTGTATGTGATGTTTTTAACGTGAATAGTTATTCAGTATTGACTACTTATTAACAGTTTGATATTTGAATCTCCCAACTTGTTTCAGGTAGGCAGACCGCAGCCCCAGGCTACACCCTCATTCCAACAATATGGGACAATACATCCAGGACCCTATAGTGGCCAACATGGCCATGGAATACGGCTCCTCTTTAGCTACCTCGGGCAAAGCATACGTGGAGCAAAATGTAAGTTAACTTTTGTTTTTTGTGCAATTAAGTGGTTGGCTGAAGTTAATTTGCTATTTGAAAGTAAGTTCATATTTTAACCAAATATGATTTTGTTTGAACTGTGTGCTTACAATGTATTATAATAATAATGATAAAATTATTCTACTGTGACATCAAGGAAGTATAAATATATAAATTATCTTATACATTAAATAATCCTAGTACTGTATTATAGTACCGTATAGTACTGTATAGTACTCAGTACTTAATTCTCCGGGAACTTAACTTCAGCCTTGAAATGTACCAAACTAAATCTCAATCTTGTAATCATAAGTCTAAACAGGGCTAAAATTAGATTCAATGTATAACAAATTACGGACTCTAATTTCCCCTCCAGCAAGATTTTAATTAACGATATGGCTAAACACATTTGCACATGTTTCTTATGTTTAGACTATTTCAGTTGGATCGCTACATACCAGTGTCACGTGTAAAGTTCTATTTCGCCGTTACCACCGACTATGTGATCCACAAGTTGATGCTGCTTCTCTTTCCTTTCCTCAACAAGGTACGCTTTTATTTTTTTCCTCTACTTATCTAACCGCTGAAGTTGATGATTGATTTTAGAAACACCCCACTTTTTAAGCTACTTACAAGGCTATTGTATAGAAATTGCACTTACAAGCTTTTCTAACCCCCTCCACCGAAACAATATAATATGGACTATCCCTCTAACTCTTATATCTCAATTATTAGCTCTTATATCTCATTTAACAGTGAAATGTATTCTGTAATATGTAATGGTATAGTATAGTAATATGGGGCTGTGAAATGTCCTCAATCTAACTATCTAACCAACTTGTTCCTAGGAGTGGGGAGCCTATAACAATGCAGGAGGAGAACCGACCAGACATCTCAACTCACCAGATCTCTACATCCCCGTTATGGGCTTCGCTACCTACGTTGTGGCTGTAGCTGTCGCTCTCGGCAGTCAGGGGAAGTGAGTGTGGGAATTACCAACTTAAACAAACATTGATTTCGGCGATTTTCCTGTAGAGAATGCGCCTGAAAGTTTAATTCTTGAGTACACGAGGATTTAATTATGTTCGACTTTTAAACGAAACAAACTTTCTTATCACGTTTATGTTTCAAGAACCACACTACAGACTACAGTTCTAAATTGCGGCTAATTAAAAGAACAATTAGTTATTTACAAAAATAAAACAATTATTTAATTGCTAATTAAACATTGCAATTGTTCCAGGTTCTCACCAGAAATGCTAGGAATAACAGCCACCACAGCATTTGTGTGGCTCATGATAGAGATCGGAATAGTTCAGCTAGCTATGTACCTGATTAGTGTCAGTACCGATATCAAGATATTCGACCTCGCCTCCTTCTCTGGATACAAATTCGTTCAGTAAGTCACAAAGTATTTTTATTTCTTATTATCTGGCCACTTATTTCATTGAAACAATTGGTCCCAGTTCAACTGCAGAACTTACATTTCTGCGAAGACCTAATTTGAGAGAAGACGTAACGATAATAAAAACGTGGCAATCTAAGGAACCGACAGTAACGCGCAGCGCTCTTAAAATGGGGAAATATCACGTACATTCGCGCGCACCAATAAAGAGATCCGTCAATACAATAATATTAGCGTACATATATACGCTACGTACCTGATTAATGATATAAAAGTATAAAAGTAGATACTATATTGTAAAGAAGTTAAATAATACATTTAGACTTATAGATGATATTACTACCCTTAACTCTGATGGTTACTTAGAGGAATATTTTAAGTTAATATATCCAGACTCTCTTACTCTTAATAAGGAAAATGAAGTAGATAGTGCCGCAAATGTATTAGATCTTGATATTTCGATAAATAGCGAGGGGAAGTTTTCGTGTAGAGTTTATGATAAAAGGGATAAGTTTGGTTTTAAAGTGGTCAAGTTTCAACCTTTGATGAGTAATCAAGCTAGTAGTGTATTATATGGCACGTACTGTTCACAGGTTGTGAGATATTCTAGGATATGTAATAACGTTGTTGCTTTTTCTGATAGGGTTTTGAAGTTTACTGATGATTTAATTGAGTTGGGTTTTAGACGGGATCGTCTTAGTAAAATATACTTATCAGTGGTAAAGAGGCATGGGCTAAAGAATAAGTTTGGTATTGGGTGTGGAAATATATTAATGCCATAGCTTGACCTATGGCATCCCTTTCTAATGGTACGAAATATTTGTCGCACGTGTTGAATTTAGTTTTATAATAACTTTGCGGCGGCGCAAATCGGAGTTCTAGGATTACGCGGGAAATTACGCGGGAGTAATTGTAGTTTGGGTCAGTTCGTTTTATGACGTGTTGACTACGTTTACTTAGTATACTTTATTCCTACCGTTTTATTACACATTTTACTTTATCTACCTATCACTATACAGTATACATATTTAATCTTAAATTATCATTTTAGTGGAACGATGTAAAAGGGGATCGTTGCTAGCGTTAAAACTGTTTTAACCCTGCCATAGTCAGTTGAAAGTCTGATAGCATATGTTCCATTTGATTTGACCAAACTAATGCCTTTCATTGCTTTATAATAATCCTGATGCGATTATTATATCAACAATCCAGCAACTTAACGTCACAAGAAACTGCCCCTTGTTTTATTCAAAATATTAGACCCAGCTAAGTGCCCTCGTTAACAGTGACTAAAACGAGTAAAACCCCACCATTTCAGTATGATAGTATGTGTTGTTGCCGCCATGGTTCTCGGGTCGACCGGTTACTATCTCTCCTTCATATACTCCAGTGCTGCTATTGTATACTTCCTGGTGAGTCAATCTAAATGTTTCTCCTCTTTAATCGTATACTTCCTGGTGAGTCAAACTAAATGTTTCTCCTCTTTAATCGTATGCTTCCTGGCGAGTCAAACTAAATGTTTCTCCTCTTTAATCCCTCCGTAAAACTGACTGAGGACGCTAAAGTTAAACAGATATTGCCCTTAAGTAAAGCATCATTTGAAATTAATTAATTATAATTACTCTATTGATGACTAACCAACCTCTAGATCTGCACGTTGCGGTATATAATCCTCCCTGACTCTAACGAAGACAGAATAGCCCGCGGCAGTAAACGCCGAAACAACCTCCTTCTTCTCATCGCCTTTATTCAGCCTCTTATCATATTCTGGCTGACACACCATGTCACGTACGGGCCGGATCCTGTTCCTTTAACTAAAATATGAACTGGACTCTGAATTTCTTAGTTTTGCTAGCTGGGCTACGATGCATTGATTTGCTATTAATTCTTATTTCTTCATTTTCAGACGTTTTCGTGAATTTTCTGATTTTATTCAATTTAATACCTGCCTTCTCTCCGACCACTAACATTTCACGATGAATTTTGTGGTTATTTCCTAAAAACTTTCCTAATATGCAATAGCACTAATACCAGTTGTATTGTTAAAGGTAAATGATTCTAAAGAATATTTGCTTTTGAAATTGTTTGTTGTCGCCCAACACTGTAGAAATATCGTATATATGTATTTGGTTTATATCACATTAAACTGTTTCATTAATTGTTCTTACGAAACGAAACGAAACACTGTATTTACTACCCCGCTACTATGCGACAAAGATATTGTATAAAGATAACTAAATGATTTACACAGTACGGTGTCCATGTCTGATTTAATTGGCTCTCCTCAAAAAACTGGTCAACTCTGGCGAGATGACCAGCGAACCTCCTCTCAGCTATCTTAATACTTATCAGATGCTCTTTTAAATGAGGTACACAATTTGGTATTAGTCTGCCCATCCTCAGCATTCTCATATCCATTTATACGCTTTGCGAGGGTCTGGCTGACAGTCTATGAGTTTATGATTCAGAGCCATATAGAAGGATGCAATGGGCTCTACTTTAGCCAGGAACAGTCGTGTCTCTCATTCCATGGAATTCTATGCGTTTTCCGTTCGTTGGTGCCGTACATAATACAGTCTTAAATGAGTTTCGAAGTTTATGCATTGGCGAAATGAGAAATTGGGATCAGTTTTATTCAGGTGTGCCCAAACCGGGCTCCAACACCAACTACACTCTCTCATTTCTAGGTATCGCGGAAAGAAATTTACGTGCCGCGCGGTAAACATTACAAATTTGCCATTTGGGTAGACCCTTCTGACCGGAAATACTAGTAATAGACCGGATGTTGACATGAGACGTGAAAAAGAAAACTCTTTTCTAGCAAAATTACATTAATTCATATTGGACCAGCCAATTCATCATAATCACATGAAATCTGCAGAAACTTACAATCTCTAATTTAAATTAAGTTCAGTTATCAAAGTCAGGTGAAATTCTAATCACAAAGAAAGCAGATAGTTATATATCAGTTTTTAGTCTGTTTAAGCGGAGAAATCAGGAACCACAGCGGAAAACAGTCACAGTTAGAACTTTAAGCGAATCCAGTTGTAGAGTAATTCCGGTGTACCTGCAAGAAATAATCGGTGAAAATTCAACAAAAAGGTTTGAGTGTCTCAAACATAGAGTTATGTCTAATGTTTATGCATTTCGATTCTAGAAACTTTCCAAGTCCTAAGTTTTCAAATATTCGAATCAAAAACACGAACAAACCTCAGGTTTGATATCAGAAACATGATCAAGCAGCCAATCCACAACTTTTCCCTGATTTGAAGCGAGCATCTCATCTAACTTAGCCGCCTCTACTTGTCCCTCCTTGTTGATCTTTGCAGTGTAGTCGTCTCCGTAACCTTGAGACTGAAAAGTTTGAACAAAATTAAAAACATTAAATGTAATATAGAACTGCGAACTCTGATGCGGGACAGGGATATATGGAGCAGGGGTGTAGGTAAATCGCCCCCCCCCCCCCCCCCCCCATAAAATCCGGACAAGGGGCCAAAAAGGGCCAACTTTTTTAAGGTTTCTAAAAAATGTTGTGAAAAAAATTGTCAAATATTACTCGAGCAGGAGCGAATGTGCGGGGGGGGGGGGGGGGGGGGGGGGGGCAATGTGGCCGTAGTTACAGCAGTTGAAAACAAGGAAATGGACAACACACTGTCATGTAGGCATACTAACCTTAGCCATTTTATCCTGAAAAGCAACTTCCTGATTGTTCTTGAAAAGTAGGATTTCCTTCTTGGCTTCCTCTTTCGCCTCTTTTAGTCTCTTCTGCTTCTCTGAAAGTTGGCTCATGTTAAAATTAGACTAACTGTTATTATTTGTAGCAGAGAGTTTATTTCGATCTAAACTGAAGACCACCATTTCGCCAGTGTGAAACTGCATTATATATCACTGTATATTATGATCATTTTGATGTTAATTGTACTATAGATGTAAAACTAAACCGGTAAGAAGTTTATGTCTGCTACTGATAAGGAAATCATTCAATACAACGTTTGCTGAAAAGGATATAAAACAAAAATTTGGTCAATAAATATTTACACTTATTTTCAAAATCATTTCCATAAACGGGCTCTAAGTTAGTGATAACCAGGTAACCGAGTAACCAGGTAGTGATAGTGCCAGTACCCAAAATGTAGAGGTTTGGTTGTATTCAGGATACACCTCTAGTAATAGCACGACATCAGGATCACATACTATACGGCTTCTGGACTTGGTGTTTAGAATACAAGCTTAGCTCCACTAGCTCGGTATCATGGATTGTATCTAATTTGAGATATGGATTATGAATATAAGGCTAGGTAACGCTTCAGTTACTATGGTAACTAGCAGTGTTACTATGTTTTAGCACCAGGCTTAAAACGTTGAAGACATCAGGAATCAGGATCAGTATCACACATGCGAGGGTCGAGGTAAGGTTCTGGATGCGGTCCTGTGCGTAAGCAACAGGAGGTTTTGATGGCTAAATTAATCTGTGACAGGATCTGGATTAGGAACATCGTCAGTAGGGTAGCGTTGAATTGAACTTTAAAATTAGGGACTAGGGTCAGGCAGCTTTTTATTATATAGCTTCAGAAACTGTCACGTAAGATAAACTCTCCAGCTTGTATCCAAAACATCTTCTTTTCGCTTTTGGCAGAGCTTTTCGTTTCCCAGTAAGATCGTTCTGTCGAGCGGATGTAGCTGACTTGAGGGATATTACCAGAGTAAGGAGATCGTTGGTGGTAGCATCGTGTCCCAATCTGGAGAGAGCCACTTCAGCGTCATCAGCAGTGTAGCCGAGTTTGATAGCGTACTGAACGAAAGTGTGCATCTTACAGAATGTGATGTTTGAATAGTTGTAGGAGAGTTTTTAACTGGTAGTTGTTGAGAAGTTGATAGTTTGTTGTAAGAATGCTGAACTGTTAACGAGTGATAACAACGAGAAGATATTACACTCTTATATACTATTATTGGTTTGATAAACGATAACTAAGCGTGTCTGATGTCTAAGAGTCTGAGAGTCTGGTTACAATATTGATTGGATCGGATAGTCTGAATCAATATACTTGTTATGATGCTGGCAAATCATGTGATCTCTCGAATAATCAACATCACCAATCACCAATGAGTGTCTCGTTCAAGTTTCATAAGAATTACCTTATCAATAGCAAAGATCCTTGATGGGGAAAAATACCAACTCGCTCACATCTTTAGCTTTATTTCCATGTTGTACATTATTAAGTTTATTAAGGTTTGGCAAGCCTCTAATAGAATGTTTTATGAAGCAACTTAAAAGGAAAACAGATGGATGGGAGATTGGCTGTAAAGTTTAGTTTAACCAATAAACATTAAACATCCAAATAAAACTGCAAGAGGTGCATTTTAATATCCGTGATGAAGTAATGAATGAACCAAATGAACTTAAATTATTCTTTTTTATCTCGTATAATACTCGTATAATAAAGAATAACACAATTAAACATGTGTCTCTGATTGGACGTCATATCAGTGGATTTTTCCAGTGTGTATTTGTACTTGTATTGTAAAGGTAAGGCACCAACACTGTGCAGTAGCCGTGGCAGTTAACATTGCCGATATAACAGAGACAAGGGAGCTATGTTTTTAAACTACAATACTACAAAACTCAAAAAATAACGTAAAGAATAACATTTGGGGTACGATAAATGAACATTAAAATAATGGAATGAAATCAAAGATTTAACATTGCAAGATTAACTTACTTTTCTTTGCTTCAGCAACCTTGGCATTGGCCCTCTGTTCTGCCTGCAGTAAACGTTGAATTCCCTCTGACTTTGTGGCCATCTCCTAAATTGATATATAGTTAGTTAGTACTCACAGATGCTGTGTTTATATGCGTATATGGCATATTGACGGAACCAACAGTTTTAATAAGTGGTCAGTCAAAAAAGCGATGGAGTGTCAGTTAGCAGAAAAACGAAAGCAATTGTCAAATAATTAAAAATATAATTTTGTTGTTGTGCAAGCAATGTGTCTGTGAAGGTATTTTCACTTGTAGATAAGGTAACAGGGAGCTAGTTAATGAAACTAATTTATCCACCCACATCCAGAAAGTTACTTCTAGCTTACAAACTATATTAGACACTCAAATCACTTTTTGATCTACTAAAAATCAAATCATATAATAGTAGCTATTTTAAAACTTATTACGGGGGGATTTCAAACAGATACAACCACGACGATGCCCCATTACTTAATGTCACCAAATCATAATGTCTCACCATCTTATCAAGAACTGAACAACATCTTGCAGGACTGCCAATTTAGTTTCTCACCATAGTGGATTCTAATATTTCTTGTAGGATCACTCATTTTTCTTGCAGCATAGGAGCTCTGTGAACAATGAACATTTGAATCATTTCTCCCCAGAGTGAGTTTCTATAATGTGTTTAGTAAGATGCATTGCTTGTCTTGTAGCATATGAACACTCAGAACATTTGAAGGGTTTCTCACCTGAGTGAGTTCTCATATGTCTAGTAAGATCACCTGCTTGTCTTGTAGCATATGAACACTCAGAACATTTGAAGGGTTTCTCACCTGAGTGAGTTCTCATAAATGTCTATTAAGATTACTTGCTTGTTTTGTAGCAAATGAACACTCAGAACATTTGAAGGGTTTTTCACCTGAGTGAGTTCTCATATGTCTAGTAAGATCACCTGCTTGTCTTGCAGCATATGAACACTCAGAACATTTGAAGGGTTCCTCACCTGAGTGAGTTCTCATATGTACCGTAAGATTACATGCTTGTCTTGCAGCATATGAACACTCAGAACACTTGAAGGGTTTCTCGCCTGAGTGAGTTCTCATATGTTCAGTAAGACGACTTGCTTGTCTTGCAGCATATGAACACTCAGAACACTTGAAGGGTTTCTCACCTGAGTGAGTTTTCATATGTTCAGTAAGATGACCTGATCGTTTTGTAGCATATGAACACTCAGAACACTTGAAGGGTTTCTCACCTGAGTGAGTTCTCATATGTCTAGTAAGATCACCTGCTTGTTTTGTAGCAAATGAACACTCAGAACATTTTAAAGGTTTCTCTCCAGAGTGAATCTTTTGATGTTCTATAAGTGTTCTCGAATATGCTGCACTGAATATACACTGTGAACACCTGAATGGTCTCACAGGCTGACTCTCACTAGGAGACAGAACTAATGTCCTCTGTGGATCTGTTCCAGTCAAGTTATCTGAAGTATCAAAGTGGTCAGGAACTTCTGGGCTGCTATGATCATGGTGCTGTTTTATATGTTCTATTAACTGAGTGTCTGAGTAAACATGTTCAGCACAAACTGGACACATGAAAACAGATGGTTTATTTGATTCAGAAATAAGTTCTTGTTTTATTGCACAATTTGATATTGTTTTATGTTCTTTGATATGCTCAACAAAGTAGTCTTCTGAAAAGTAATGTGCTCCACACATTGGGCAGAGGAAACCGTTTGACTTTTCTGGGTTCTCCACTTGTTCTGATTTGATCTCTTGTTTACAGTCTTTAGACATTCTGAGGTGTTGAAATATAAGAGATACATTTATTTTAAATTCGATCGGGAAGGAATTTGGCATTCATAACGTGCCTTATCCAATGAAAATCACAAATATTTGCCCAGTTAAACCAGGGGTTAACTAGGTATCCATGGTGAAAAATTGTGTAAAATGGTGAATGATTTTTATGGTGAATCAGGTTTCCAAATTGTAAAATTTCACTATTTTCTGCCGTTTTTTCGATGATTATATTTGCCTTCTAGTTTTAGTTTTGACCTGGTGTTATCACCCTAAAACAATATTTCGTTATTAACTCAGATTTTGAGGATATAAAGAAACAATTAAACATGTGTTTCATTAAATTTAAAGTAAGTGTAGGTTTTACAATTCGGAAGCTCGATTCACCAAAACTATCAATCACCATTTTTCATCAAAACTAGTGAACACTAAACATGGTGAGAAAAGTACATTGAAAATGGTAACTTTAAATGAAAATGGTGCAGTGAGAAAGGTACATTGAAAATGGTAACTTTAAATGAAAATGGTGTAGTGAGAAAGATACATTGATACTGGTAACTTTTGGTGAACATGGCGAGTAAGGTAAATCAAAATTGGTAACTTTAGTTCTTTAGTGAACATGGTGAGTAAGATATATCATATATAGTAACTTCCAAATTATTACGCTCTAGTGTAATTTTGACAAAATAGCTCTTTGTAAAACTGATTACGGAAGGATTTCAAACAGATACAACCACGACGATGCTCCATTACTTAATGTCACCAAATCATAATGTCTCACCATCTTATCAAGAACTGAACAACAGGACTGCCAATTTAGTTTCTCACCATAGTGGATTCTAATATTTCTTGTAGGATCACTCATTTTTCTTGCAGCATAAGAGCTCTGTGAACATTTGAATCATTTCTCCCCAGAGTGAGTTCTCATGTGTCTAGTAAGATGCATTGCTTGTCTTGCAGCATATGAACACTCAGAACATTTGAAGGGTTTCTCACCTGAGTGAGTTCTCATATGTTCAGTAAGATGACCTGATCGTTTTGTAGCATATGAACACTCAGAACACTTGAAGGGTTTCTCACCTGAGTGAGTTCTCATATGTCTATTAAGATCACCTGCTCGTTTCGTAGCAAATGAACACTCAGAACATTTGAAGGGTTTCTCACCTGAGTGAGTTCTCATATGTTCAGTAAGATGACTTGCTTGTTTTGTAGCAAATGAACACCCAGAACACTTGAAGAGTTTCTCACCTGAGTGAGTTCTAATATGTACAGTAAGATTACTTGCTTGTTTTGTTGCATATGAACATTCAGAACACTTGAAGGGTTTCTCACCTGAGTGAGTTCTCATATGTCTAGTAAGATTACTTGCTTGTTTTGTAGCAAATGAACACTCATAACACTTGAAATGTTTCTCACCTGAGTGAATTCTCATATGTACAGTAAGATCACCTGCTCGTTTTGTACCATATGAACACTCAGAACACTTGAAGGGTTTCTCACCTGAGTGAGTTCTCATATGTACAGTAAGATCACCTGCTCGTTTTGTAGCAAATGAACACTCTGAACATTTTAAAGGTTTCTCTCCAGAGTGAATCTGTTGATGTTCTATAAGTGTTCTCGAATATGCTGCACTGAATGTACACTGTGAACACCTAAATGGTCTCACAGGCGGACTCTCACTAGGAGACAGAACTAATGTCCTCTGTGGATCTGTTCCAGTCAAGTTATCTGAAGTATCAAAGTGGTCAGGAACTTCTGGGCTGCTATGATCATGGTGCTGTTTTACATGTTCTATTAACTGAGTGTCTGAGTAAACATGTTCAGCACAAACTGGACACATGAAAACAGATGGTTTATCTGATTCAGAAATAAGTTCTTGTTTTATTGCACAATTTGATATTGTTTTATGTTCTTTGATATGCTCAACAAAGTAGTCTTCTGAAAAGTAATGTGCTCCACACATTGGGCAGAGGAAACCGTTTGACTTTTCTGGGTTCTCCACTTGTTCTGATTTGATCTCTTGTTTACAGTCTTTAGACATTCTGAGGTGTTGAAATATAAGAGATACATTTATTTTAAATTCGATCGTGAAGGAATTTGGCATTCATAACGCGACGTGCCTTATCCAATGAAAATCACAAATATTTGCCCAGTTAAACCAGGGGTATCCATGGTGAAAAATTGTGTAAAATGGTGAATGATTTTTATGGTGAATCAGGTTTCCAAATTGTAAAATTTCACTATTTTCGGCCGTTTTTTCGATGAGTATATTTGCCTTCTAGTTTTAGTTTTGACCTGGTGTTATCACCCTAAAACAATATTTCGTTATTAACTCAGATTTTGAGGATATAAAGAAACTATTAAAAAGATGTCTTTCATTATATTTAAAGTACGTATAGATTTTAAAATTTGGAAACTTGATTCACCAAAACTATCAATCACCATTTTTCATCAAAACTAGTGAACATGGTGAGGTACATTGAAACTGGTAACTTTAAGTGAAATTGGCGAAAAGGTACATCAAAACTGGTAACTTTTAATGAGCACTGAACATGGTGAGAAAGGTATATTGATACTGGTAACTGTTGGTGAACACGGCAAGGAAGATAAATAAAAACTTATAGTGAACATGGCTAGTAAGGTTCATCAAAACTGAGCTCTAGTACCAGAAAACACAGAAAAAAACTAAAATGATGAAAATTGGTGAAAAACGGTGAGTGATTTGTATGGTGAATCGGTTTTCCTTACTGTAAAATTTCACCATTTTTCACCATTGGATACCCCCACTGTACTGCTGCAATTTCAAGTCAACTGTACTTTCACATCCATTTATCATTTCTAATCCACTTCAATGAAACAAGAAATTTCAATGAAACAAGAAATTTAATTACAGAAATTACAGAAATTTTACAGAATAAAAAGATGTAAAACAACTCATAAAATATAATCAATGAAACAAGAAATTTCAATGAAACAAGAAATTTAATTTTAGCACATTTTTACAGAATAAAAAGATGTAAAACAATTCATAAAATATAATGCCCATTTGGTGTATGACTTTTTGTCCTTGACTGCTAGTTTGGTTTTGGAAGGACAGGTAACTAACGGGGCGAGGAATGCGCGTGCCTGGAAGCTTTTGCACACACCGAAACGCTAGTTCAGTTCAGTTTTTAGAGACGAGGTTCATATTAGGACTAGAAGAAAAATTGTTAGCAGACATTAGGGGTTCTGTTTATAGTTGTTACTATAGGTTGCAGTCTTGTTGTGACAAAAAGTCTACACTATATAATATGCTTAAGTTTAAATTTTGTAGTTTGAGGATATAAAATGCAACTTTAAGATTGATATTGGAGAGCTGGTGAAAAATTATGGTCTTTGTATCAATGGTTATAATAAGCTATAAATATCTTAAACTATACAGTGCTAATTAAAAATTTCTTTATACTTCATTCTCAAATTAAATTTAAAAAATTCAAAAATATACATTCATTTTATTAAATCTTTCTCACACATACTTTACTCACAGGACAAGACTTGGAAAACAGTAGCCTAGGATAATTTAATTGAGATATGTGTGACCAGCCAGTTATAACTTATAATGTTTGGAAAATAACATTTGTGCAGTCAAAATCTTTTATGGTCCAATCAAGCAGGGCGTGCTTATGTAGATTAGCTAATAGCGCACGTTTTAGCTTACCTCGCAAGCACATTACACTAGTAGTAAAAAATGCCCATTTGGTGTATGACTTTTTATCCTTGACTGATAGTTTGGGTTTGGAAGGAAAGGTAACTAACGGGGCAAGGAATGCGCGTGCCTGAAAGCTTTTGCACACACCGAAACGCTTGTTCAGTTAGGTTTTTAGAGACAAGGCTCATATTAGGACTAGAAGAAATTTGTTAGTAGACATTAGGAGTTCTATTTATAGTTGTTACTATAGGTTGCAGTCTTGTTGTGACAAAAAGTCTACACTAAAACATACTTTAGTTTATATTGTGTAGTTCAAGGATATAAAATGCAGCTTCAAGATGGATATTGGTGCAGTTTAACCTGATATAACCCCAGTACCAGTAATTGTAATCTTTAACACATGTTGGTTTACCACACCAGGATATAGGATATAGCTTTGAGTTTGAACCAGAGCTGTCTAACTTTTCAATAACAAAGTGAAGTTTTGGCATGTCTGGTAAATGTTTCTGATCTGAATGCAACAAACCATATTTCATGCAGAAAGTGTCTGGGTCTTCTCCCTCTACAGCAGTTGCTGTTAAAACATACTGTCGATCTGCATATTTGGTATCTGACAACTGAAAATTGAACGAGTTGTCCTGCATAACAATATTCTTTACTAAGTCAGTAGAAGAAAGGTAATAAAAAATTATGACTTTGGCCTTCTTTCTACTCTTTGATACAAGCTTATCACTCGACTTAAGATGAAGAATTAAATGGCATGTATCTTGATCACTAAAAAGTCAGCTGATTGCCTCAACTTTGATTAATAGTAATTTCAGTTGACAGAAGCTGAAGGATGGTGGTTCAAAAGGCACAGTGCACTATCGACAAGATCAAGGACTCGAGTGCCAGTAATGGCTTTTCCGAATCAATTTTCGCCGATTTGCTCAGTGCTCCTAGTGAGCCGCGTCCAACTGCTAAACGGCACATGATGGTTTTTGTATTAATACTTATTAATTTAAACAATAATTCAGTTGATGGTTTATAAATTATAGATCATGTTTCTTTTTCGTTTAATAATCACACCTCACGGCTTGACAATTCAGTCATACCACAGTCAATAGTGTTGAAGCAACCAGTGTCGGCTGATTGCCTCAATTTGGATGATAATTTCATTCTATGAAATTTAAGAATTATTAATGTAAAATTGTTAAGGTAAATTTTTTGCTAAAAGTCTGCTCTAAACAAAAGCATTTAAATAAAAAGTACAAATTCATGTTGCAAGCTGACAAGTGAATTATAAAGGGAGCTTAAAGTTAAAACGAATAGTAGTAGTTCCTAACATGTTAAGCAAGATTGGCCTCTTTGCATCAGTCCGAGTATAGCGCTCGACTTGTAATAATATAACATTCGAATTAATGTGAATGAACTTGAAGATGCGCGGCTCAAGACAGAAATGTACACCAATAAAACTAAAATTATCATGCATGCTGTAATAAATTTTAATAAAAATATCTAGTAAGAATTAATATAATAAAATTGAGTTACAAAATAAATATAGGAATAAATGTTAAACATTTGAATGAATATAATTTATTGGTGAATTATAGTGTACGCCGCGCACTCAGCCACAGTAACCCGTGAAGATTACCATATCCATTTACCTCCGCAAAAGCTGTGCGCGCATTTTAAATTGTACAATCGGCTATTTTGCGTCATTTTAGTCTATGTGGCAAAATAAGACTGGCAATGCTTGTTTAGGCTGGTAAGCTGACGCCTTTAAATTGTGCTACTGTCTACGGAATATGCACCTGAACTGTAACATTTGAAAGTTTTTAAAGTTGTCTAAATAGAATAAAATGTTTCGCTTTTTGTTGTGCTTCTTTTTTGTCGTAGCCACCAACGCAAAAGTCAGGATGTGTGGTAATCACTTCTGCACAGGTAAGTCAAATTATTGATTGTAAGTCTTCTTAACATTGTTCATTTCGTAGGGATTCATTTGTATCATAACATGCATTCATTATTATTGTACTAGTGCCACTATTTATGAATTTCTTAAAGGGTTAAACATAAGTCAAGATTTATAATAATGCCTCTCTGGGCATCTTCTAGCAGAAATATGTTTGTTGGTAAGGTATATTAATCTTGTACCCACTTACCACCGTACACTATTCAATGGTAAAATCAATTTCCCAAAAGCTAACCAGTATTTAGCAGGTAACTAGCAGTGTTACCATGGTAACCATTATTTATTTCAGTGGCTCTGTACCGTGGTCACGCGTTAGATGATTGGGGAGAAGAAACTCCAGGCTTTCTGAAATTGAATAAGGGTGCTTTTGTAACTGTGTTTGGGGTTGAAGGAAAATACTTTGATGCTGAGGTAAAATGTGCACCTGATTACCATGGTTACCTTGGTTACTACGGTAACTAAAACTTGAGGTTATAGAGCTACAGAATTATAATAATTTATAATGTAATTAATGTAATACATTTAAAGGTATGCACCGAGTATGCCAACTTAACCATTCAAGGAGATCTGGTATTCTTCAGATAGCATGGTTTGCATGTATTGACTAATGGATAACTGACATTATGCAATTCAACAGTGTTAAAATATTTTGTAATACTAGAGTCGAACTTGGAGTTGTTAATTACCTGACGAAACCTTAGAAATAGAACTGCATTGCTTGAAAGCAGCATCAAGTTACAGTGTTGAATGTCTGGAGCAATTTACTCCGGATGTATCTCTCTATTTAAAGAAGCAACAATATGAACTGCCTAATATCGGACTAAAATTCTAGGTATTGAACTATCTTTGAAATTTTTCCGAAACTACCATAGAACAATGAATATTAAGCACCAGTTTCTTGTAGAAATTTTAATAAAGGTTCGGGTAATCTTCGCCTGAAAGTAAAATTATTCTTAGTATTTGAATAAATTACATGCAAGTCACACATTTTCTGACATTTTCATCATAAAGACATAATTTCGTGACATATGTTTACTCCCTGCCACAATGTTTATTGTTTATAAATAATTAAACTTAAAATAAACACTTGCAAAGTTGCCATTAAGTCACACGTGACATTCGATAACAAACATAAACTTCCTATCTTTAGCTATAATAATGTTTTAGTGAACAATCACTAATATAAAGTATTCTTGTGTAAATTTGTATTTATCCCGTTTGATGCGACAAGGAAAAATGCTCCTATCTGGAAAGGAATTTACTCAACGTTTCAATGTTACAACATCGTATTCATGATCTAAAAATATTTCTATCAAAAATTCAAAACGTAAAAATTTGCAAAAGAATACATTGCAACCATTGCATGCGACTCATAAACAACACTCCAATCCGGATTTTACAATCACTATTATAAAGGCTGTACAGTAAACTTTTATGAACCTAGAAAACTATAATATACATTATAATGAAACCCCTTTCATCGATATATATTTCTATAAAGTGTTAATGTATTCTAAAGTAAATAAATTGTTTTTACTTTCAGTCGGAAGGAGTTCGAGGTTTTATGCCCAAAGAACTGGCCGTTATCTCGGAGACCCTGCTCGAGCCTACTGTCGAGGTATATGATCACCATGGCAACACTTCACAACCACTCACCACTTTATTCACCTTTCTCACTAAAATATTCAACTTTTATGTGAGTATCGTGCTCTGTATGGCCCACATATTTGTACATCAGGTACATTATTGTATGCAGTTATATTCATCAGCACTGAAATTTCAGTCAAGTATAAAAACTGTACTAAAGTACTATGTAGTCTGTACAATGTACATATATTTGTATATCAACTACATTCCTATAGCTGTTGTATTCACCACGGAGTCTGAAACCAAAAGTATAACCGCTGTACTTACTGTACTACTATATGTAATGTACACGAGAGAGAGGGAGAGAGTACAAGTTACCAATCACAAGTAGTCCTCTGCTCTCACCAGATACAGCTTACTATTACAGTGTATATTATTAGTTAGATACAGCTTACTATTACAGTGTATATTACTAGTCAGCCTCTAATAACCAAGTGTCAGTATGTTGTCCTGTACGTAGTTAGAATACAATATACCCGCGTTTAGTTGTCTTGTGATTGTTCTGAAGCTGTCTTGTAACTAGCAGTGTTACTATACTAGTATATAATATATATAGTCTTGTGATTGTTCTGAGGCGCTGGCCTCTGAGTACTTTTCAGTGGCAACCTGTTGCGAATGTTGAATTATTGTGGAGTAGATCCTTACTTTGTGTTCTTCCCTATACATATTACACACCATGTTGCACTTGATAAAAAGCTTACAGAAATTCTAACTCTTGGAAAAGCTTTCCATTTAGTTACTGTCGGAAGTGTCTGTATTTCCTGTAATCACGTAGTGTAATGTGGGAACTCTCACACAAGCTATAATTACCCACTATTTCCATGAGTACAATATCATATCAGTACACAAGGTATACACAGCATCATAACAAATATTGCCGCAATATACCTAGCGGAGCTATCGCTAGTTTTAGCATATCACGTGTTATATAAAGTTCAATATTGCCAGCCTTTATGTCAATGTGGCGCAGGTTAGGTTACTGTAGTATATACTATACGTATGTCTACTAATCCACAGCGTTAGGTCGACTACTCTTACCAACTATATAATACACTGTAATACAACTGTAATGTACACTTACCAACTAATATACGCTTCTAAGCTAATTAACAAATTAGTAACCTAACACGCTCAATTTCTGTTGCGCGAGAGCAGATGAAGTGTTAAATGTAAAATAGCTGAATAAATGGTTAATGAAGGCAATGAATATCTAATTATAATGTTTTGCATAAAATCCGTTAAAAGTTAATAATGTAATGATTCCTGACAAATCCTAAGCTTAATACCTTACTCTCGCCAGCAAGTGTATATAATATAACAAACTATAAGGAAGGAAGTATTAATTAGAACCACAATTAGAACCACAGTGTAATTACCATGGTTACCAATTATTGCAAATCTCTCTTCCCAAACATGGCATAATCATAACCTTATGAATAATAACCACTTTGTTACTATATGAGACAGTGTGCTGCTGTCTTCTTGTACATTTTCTGTTGTTCGGCCAGACCCTGTATTTCTTAGTAGTCATCAGTAAGGGTTGATTAGTAAGAGAATCCTGCACGGACAAATTCCGAACATTTCGTCTGAGTACGTTGTGGTACTGATGTTCCCTAGTAACACTGCTAGTTACTAAGTAACACTGTTAGTTACCATAGTTACCAATGTTGACGGAGCTTTCTAAAGCTGGAGCCATTATTTTGTTCGCTGCTTTCCTTTTGGTACGAGATTGGAATGTTTTTACCTCTCCCACATTTCATGCTTACCCACACTCACAACTGACATTCGATAATGTTAATGACATAATGTACATAATGATACCATGTTGAAATATCCGCCTTCTATCAACACTGTCATTCACCCAAATAGCATAATTAGTATTAAATAAAATACTCAAAACCTATCATGCTCTTTGGATAAAACAGTAAACAGTTTTGCTAATACCCTCCTAGTTACCATAGTAACAATGTTAGTTACCATAGTAACACTGCTAGTTACCATAGTAACACTGCTAGTTACCATAGTAACACTGCTAGTTACCATAGTAACACTGTTAGTTACCATAGTAACACTGCTAGTTACCATAGTAACACTGCTAGTTACCATAGTTACACTACTAGTTAGTTTTGCTAATACCCTCCCGTCCTCAGTTCAACCCGTACTACAAGGAGGAGGAGTCAGCTGCAGATACCTCTCAGGATCAGGTTGCCCAGGTAACAGAACAACATGACCACCACCTGACAAACTCCACCTCCCAACTCTCCACTACTGATAATACTAACTCTGACGACAAGACGACAACTAACTCTAACGACAAGACGACAACTAACTCTGACGACAAGACGACAACTAACTCTAACGACAAGACGACAACTAACTCTGACGACAAGACGACAACTAACTCTGACGACAAGACGACAACTAACTCTGACGACAAGACGACAACTAACTCTGACGACAAGACGACAACTAACTCTGACGACAAGACGACAACTAACTCTGACGACAAGACGACAACTAACTCTGACGACAAGACAAAATACTCACCTCGGGAGCATGATGATTTAGACGACCTAATGTACGGCGAGGAGGAGGTGGACGGTGAGTTTGAGGGTCTGGTGTTTGACAGAGGTGTGTTAGTTGACACAAAACAACCCTCCCCTCAGAATGGTGACAGTAGCAACAGCTCTGAAGAGGATATGGTAAAGCGAGAGGCTGGGGAGGAAGAGAAGAAAATGGCTGAAGAAGAAGAACTTAAACGTTTGGCAGAAGAACTGGATGTGACACGGCTTACTGAAGAAGCAGAGGCAAAGCTGCTTGCTGAAGAAGAAGAAGCAAAACGGCTTGCGGAAGAGGCAGAAGCAAAACATCTTGCTGAAGAACAAGAAAAGATACGACTCGCCAAAGAAGAAGCAAGGCGGCTAGCTATAGAAGAAGCAAAAAAGCAGGCTGAAGAAGAAGTCAAAAGAAAAGCTGAAGAAGAAGCTAAAAGAAAAGCTGAAGAAGAAGAAGCTAAACGTGCCGAAGCAGAGATGTTGGCTGAACAACAGAAGCTTGAAGCGGAAGCTGAACGTTTACGTGTTGAAGAGCAAGCTAAAATAGACCGGGAACGTGAACAAGAGAGAATAAGGAAAGATCAGGAGAAAAGAAAGGAGGAGGCGGCAGAGAAACATCGCGAGGGACTAGAGAGATTGGAGCAGGAGCGGCTGGAAAAAGAGAGGCTGCAGCAAGAAAAACGAGATAATGATAGGCTGGCAAGGGAGGAGCAGGAAAAGAAGAAACAAGAAGTAGAACGTCTCAAGGAGGAGAGAGCAGAAAAGAAAAGACTGGATAAAGAGCGCAAAGACAAAGAAAGAGCAGCCAGAAAAAAGTTAGAAGAAGAAAGGTTGGCACATGAAGAAAAGCTCGAACAAGAAAGACTCGCCAAGGAACGAGAGAGGCTTGAGCAAGATCGACTGGAACACGAAAGAGTCGAGAAAGAACGTGCTGCTATAAAAGAGGCAGAAATAGAACAAGATCGTATTCACCAGGAGGCTATGGAGCGAGAACTGAAGGAGAAGGAGGAAGATAGACTCCGTCGGGAGCAGGAACAGCAAGAACTAGAGCAGCTGGAACAAGAAACAGCTGCCGAGGAAGCGAAGCTTGAAAAACTCAAGGCAGAGCAACAAAAGCGCATGAGGGATCAGAAACAGCACGACGACAGAATGAAAAACGGCCGTAAACAGAAAATGGCCGACAAGAGGAAAATGGAGGAAGATTCCAAAAAGTCAGAGTTCTTGGCAAAGAAACAGCAGCTTCAAGAGCAGTACCAACTGAAACGAGAACAGATGAGACAGGCTCAGCTGGAGAGGGAGCGGAAACAGAATATTCACCGCACTGGCGTAAGTTCATATTCGTGGCACATATTTGTAGCATCCTTTCAGCTTTGTTTCGATATGTGACGGAGTTCAAGATATTGTGTTGGTTTTGTTAGTGTATTATAAAGTATCATACTCCCTGCACTGCATGGTAATTAATGTTGACATGCTTAATGCCCGTTGACATAGTTGATTGTTTGATAAATGTAATTTTAGACCGCCTCAATATATTTTGTGCTTGAGTTGATACTTGAAGTAAAATTTATATTTTCGCATATTAATTATTTCCCTTTCTAATCATAATCCTGTCAATTCATATAGCAGAAACCTTTAATCGATTACTTCTAGAGTCCGTAATAACCAACGCATGTTGTTCGACGCTTGTTTAATGTTTAAGTAATAAACTTTTCATGTTTAGAGTACGCATTGAATTGTAACTGTAAGCATTGTAAGCATTGTAATTGTATAAATATTAAATACAGCTTACCTTTACATCCCTCAGTTAAGATTGCTCCACTGCATCAGTAATTAAATGTTCCATGTGCTTTTCAATGTTTGAACTGGTTTGAAATGTAAATTTGCATGACAGATTCATTGGCGTAACGTTGGTTACGCCACTAGACAGATTGGAGACCACTTGAACACTGACTGACTTGCAGACTTTTATTTCTTTGCAAATGTAGAATAACGGAATGTTGTTTGATTTGATAGAACCAACAATAATTATAATATGGTGATCTATAAATCCCAAAGCACGTTCATGTAAATTCTTTAACATATTTAATTTCCTGATATACAACACAATCGTGTGAATATTTTTCCAACTGCAACTGTTCCCCCTGTTTGGTAATATAACGCGACAACATGTTTCTATTATCCAGGTCGCTAGTAACGAACAAGTTGTTGCTCCGAATACCGAAGGTTTGTTTCTTATTCACACGATCTCTATATTTTTTCAAAACTTCTGAATTCAAGATGTCGAATTCGTATCTAAATCTTTATCAAAACGTCGTCAATAACTCATTTTAAATGTAGATAAACGTGATTATTACGCACGATGAGCTGTATTGTAACCATGGTAACACAGTGTTGTAACCATGGTAACACACCATCGCCAGAGTAGTTAGGTTTTTAGATCACTAATTTTACATTTTCAGGAACTTGCGATGGCGAATCTTGTGGTCAAGAAGTAACTGCAGACAAACCAGATGAACAACATATTCATCAGGATCCTCCTCAGCAAGAGCATCAGGAACAAAATCCTAACCCCCCTCAAGAGATCGCTCATCAGGAACCTATCCACAATCAGGAACCTCATGAACCTCATGAACATGTTGAAAATGTTGAAAATGTTGAACATGATGAAAATGTTGAACATGATGAACATGTTGAACATGATGAACATGTTGAATCTCATCACGAGGAATCTAATCAACACCAGGAACCCCCTCCCCAAGATCAGCAGCACCAAGCTGAACAAACTAACCAAGAAACTAACCAAGAAACCCAACAAGGCACTGAAACTGAGCCTCATATTGTAGAGACTAAACCTGAGGACACTGATCTGCCAGCACAGCCTGATGAATCTCAACAAGAAGCTAGTAGAGAGGGACAACAAGAGGACAACAAGGAGGCCGACAAGGAGGCTGACAAGGAGGCTGAGGTAACGAGTGGTGAGAAGCCTGTAAAGGAGGAATACGATGAAGATTTAGATGATCTAGGTATTTAAATATAGTTTAGAAAGTTGTATTAATTTTATTTCTTGTTATCATTTGATCAGGGTACTGCTGCTTGTCAACATGTGACTGAGCCTTATTAGTTCAACTGAAAGTCATCAGCCATGTAGATTAGAACTAATTCCTAACTCTAGGTTAACTATTTCAGGAGAACTCCCTGATGAGATGAAGGATGAGGAGGCACTAGAAAAAGAGGAGGAGGAAAAAGAGAGGGATCTCCTGGAGAAGGAGAAGGAGGAGGAGAGGAGGGAGTCGGACAAGGAGCTACACTACGACCACAGTAAAAGGGATCTGGGGATACAGCAGGGGGTAGACAAGTTGAACAGGCAAGATGGCATGGAAACTGCCGTGAAGAAACCTGCCCTTCCTTTCTACTGCAGCATACCTATTGTGAGTCGTTTAGTTTTATCTATATTACATTTTCATGTGGTTATATGTCCAGTTATAATACCCCTGGCCCTCCCCCTCCACCTCCTTTAGCTTATACCCCATTTTTAATGTATGTCCACTATCCTGTCTGAATGTCTTGTCTTGTTTATTCAGATTTATTGTGTTTCTTAGTATCTAGCCTTTACACCTCTTCTTGTCTAGCGTTATCATATTATTATGAAGCTGATGAATAAAAAACTACTTTTAGTAAAGCAAATTATTCAAAATTAAAATAGCAGCTGCAGGGTCATTCTGTTACCATGGTTACATTCTGGAATTTAATATTCATCAAGTGCAAACGTCATCCCAAAAATGATTGGTTAAAATGATAGCCAAAACAAAAAATAATACACAATTAATAAATGTTATCTCATCGGTTCCAAAACCGTCCGTTATCAATATTCAATAACAACATACAATTGGACGTGACGCACTTTTAGCTGCCTTGGATAGCAATCTTCAATATTCTATAACAATTCCATTATTTAAAATTCGACTGTGTATCGCACAGAAAATAATAAAGTGACTGCATTTCAAGTTCTCAGCATCTGAACAAATAAAAAGCAAAGCAACAAACAAATAAACAACTAGAAACTGAAAGTGTAGTGTGTTACCATGGCTACTCAGTCCCTAATATTCTTCATGATCAGGAATACAGGACTCATAAGAATTGTAATGAAAGTGCGGGCTGTGTCCAACATGGACTCCTTGATAAGCGTACATCTGCTGTAATACACTATAACGTTAACCGCTGCGTCAAAATACACTATTATTATCTGGCCCGTCTTCACACAGGATAGAGCGATAAACCTGAAGGTGTGTAGTTAGTGTGTTACCATGGTTACAATATTGTAGTTAGTGTGTTACCATGGTTACAATATTGTAGTTAGTGTGTTACCATGGTTACAATATTGTAGTTAGTGTGTTACCATGGTTACAATATTGTAGTTAGTGTGTTACCATGGTTACAATATTGTAGTTAGTGTGTTACCATGGTTACAATATTGTAGTTAGTGTGTTACCATGGTTACAATATTGTAGTTAGTGTGTTACCATGGTTACAATATTGTAGTTAGTGTGTTACCATGGTTACAATATTGTAGTTAGTGTGTTACCATGGTTACAATATTGTAGTTAGTGTGTTACCATGGTTACAATATTGTAGTTAGTGTGTTACCATGGTTACAATATTGTAGTTAGTGTGTTACCATGGTTACAATATTGTAGTTAGTGTGTTACCATGGTTACAATATTGTAGTTAGTGTGTTACCATGGTTACAATATTGTAGTTAGTGTGTTACCATGGTTACAATATTGTAGTTAGTGTGTTACCATGGTTACAATATTGTAGTTAGTGTGTTACCATGGTTACAATATTGTAGTTAGTGTGTCACCATGGTTACAATATTGTAGTTAGTGTGTTACCATGGTTACAATATTGTAGTTAGTGTGTTACCATGGTTACAATATTGTAGTTAGTGTGTTACCATGGTTACAATATTGTAGTTAGTTTGTTACCATGGTTACAATATTGTGGGTGTTTATCAGTTTTATGAGACCACGGAATGCGACGTCGTTTTAACTTTAAAGATGCCTCTTCCCCAAACATACGCTTTTCTTAACGATATACGTCAATAATATGTCAAAAAAGCAATCATTTGTTCGTTATACTAAAAATAGAAATTTAATCTCGCTCCAATTAAAATGTCATTGTAACAAAACCGAACCTTTACATCATTGAAGTTCAAGAAAATGGGGAATTTAAAGCATGGTTACTGTTTATTTGGTAACTTATTTGGTAACTTATTTGGTAACTTATTTGATAACTTACGAAGTGTTAGACATTAACTTGACGTCGCTGAGAGAGTCTATCCCCTTGAAGACATCGTTATAAAGTACCCAGTACATTATGTGCATCACGTGGCACAGCACAAATGCTATAGACACTATTATCATCGTCTGTATTGCTCTCCACTGGGGGTGGTGGGGTCATGAGAAGGAGATGATGGGGGGGGGGGGTGTTGGGGTCATGAGGAGGAGATGATTGGGGGGGGGGGTCATGAGAAGGAGATGATGGGGGGGGGGGGGGGTGTTGGGGTCATGAGGAGGAGATGATGGGGGGGGGTGTTGGGGGGTGTTGGGGTCATGAGGAGGAGAGATTGGGGGGGGGGGGGGGGGGGGGTGGGGTATGAGGAGGAGAGATTGGGGGGGGGGGGGGTCATGAGGGGAGTATGGGGGGGGGGTAGAGGAGGAGATGATTGGGGGGGGGGGGGGTGGGGGGTCATGAGGAGGAGATAATTGGGTGAGGGGGTGTTGGGGTCATGAGGAGAGATGTATAGGGGGGTCATAGTATGTGATATTGGGGGGGGGGGTGTTGGGGTCATGAAGGTGGGTATAGATGATTGGGGGGGGGGAGGGGGGATGGGGGGGGTCATGAGGAGGAGATGATTGGGGGGGGTCTGAGGAGGAGATGTGGGGGGGGGGTGGGGTCATGAGGAGGAGATGATTGGGGGGGGGTCATGAGGGGAGATGTTGGGGGGTGGGGTCATGAGGAGGAGATGATTGGGGGGGGGGGGTCATGAGGAGGAGATGATTGGGGGGGGGGGTGTTGGGGTCATGAGGAGGAGATGATTGGGGGGGGGGGGTGTGGTCATGAGGAGGAGATGATGGGGGGGGGTTGTTGTGGTCATGAGGAGGAGATGATTAGGGGGGGGGGTCATGAGGAGGAGATGGTTGGGGGGGGGGGGTCATGAGGAGGAGATGGTTGGGGGGGGGGGGTCATGAGGAGGAGATGATTGGGGGGGGGGGGGTCATGAGGAGGAGATGGTTGGGGGGGGGGGGTCATGAGGAGGAGATGATTGGGGGGGGGGGGGGGTCATGAGGAGGAGATGATTGGGGGGGGTTGTTGTGGTCATGAGGAGGAGATGATTAGGGGGGGGGGGGTCATGAGGAGGAGATGATTGGGGGGGGGGTCATGAGGAGGAGATGATTGGGGGGGGTTGTTGTGGTCATGAGGAGGAGATGATTAGGGGGGGGGGGTCATGAGGAGGAGATGGTTGGGGGGGGGGGGTCATGAGGAGGAGATGATTGGGGGGGGGGTCATGAGGAGGAGATGATTGGGGGGTGTGGGGTCATGAGGAGGAGATGATTGGGGGTGGTGGGGTCATGAGGAGGAGATGATTGGGGGGTGTGGGGTCATGAGGAGGAGATGATTGGGGGGGGGGGGGTGGGGTCATGAGATATGAAAGTTGATGATCAGTTTGAGCGATGTGATGCAAACAAAAAGTGTGGTAATATGGATTATTGGGGATCGAAAAACTAAGTTAGGAAGCATGTATTATCTAATTAAAATTGAGCAGTGATTGGTTTGTTCAATACATCAAAATATTACAACTTAATAAAAAATGTGTTTAAAGGGACGGTCGTGGGTAAATGATTAAATTATTAAATCGAATAAAAGCGATTAATTGCTTCACTCAAAACTTACATATAACATAGTCCCAGAATCATCATCCTAAATTTTCAGGCTTAGTTTGTCTCGCAATCACACAATCACACAATCACACGTCACTACTCAAAATTCACTCTTCATCATGACGTCACAGTGACGTCACGTTCCTCTTAATCATGACGTCACAGTGAGTCACTATGACGTCACGCCACTCTTTCATTTCTCACGCTCCTTATCTCGCTAGTCTCACACAGTTCGCACAATATTCGTTACTATTAAAAATAAGTCAAAATTAAACAGTAAACCAGGACAGCTCTAGGATTTTCAATTGTTATCTTTATGGATAATTGAAATTGTAGAGTTCAGTGTATTTGGTTAATTTACCTGATTTCGTTTAAAGTGCGTTCTGTTGACCTGCTTGGTGCCTGTATGAAGCTTCAACATGTTGTCTAGCATAGAGAACCTGCTCTTCCGTCCTGATTTAGGAGACGAACAGTTCACACCTGAGAACAATAATATACTTATTTAATATTAATTATTAATTATTATTAATTATTTATTATTAGTTATTAATTATCATTATAGTTATTAATATATCATTATATTATATACTATCACCCTTCTACCAGTGCAATGTATAGCTGATACACCTTCTATCTGGTGTATCACTTATAAGCCAAATGTTTAATAGTAGTATACTCATTAGGTAATTAATTAGAACTAATAATCACATACTAATTATTACTAATTATTACTAATTTTTACTAATTATTACTAATTATTACTAATTATTACTTACCGTTAGGTGAGATGTTAGCTAGCTGATTCTCGTCCCCAATTGTTGTGAGGTCCTTCTCCCCCATAGCAGTGGAGTTAGCGATAATAACTGAACTCTTAGCTGTAGAAAAGCAAATATTAGGAAAATGGAACAAATTGTAAAAGTGTATGCAAAGTAGATTGTAATATGTATTACTAGTAATTATTACTATGCTAACAGCACAATAATTGGTATCATTGATAGGATAATGAAGTTGTGTTAAATTAGAAAAATTTCTGCAGAATTAAGAAAAAAAATCACATTTTTGTATATTCGAAGTATTCACTTAGTAAATATATATAAATATTTACTTACTTACTAAATATATATAAATATTTACTTACTACATTCATGTAATTTCCTCTCCGCCATTATTCGTGGAAGTAGCTTCTTCATAACAAGACAAGTGCTGAAAAGTAATCAGTTTTAAACTTTCAGTAAAAACGTTCTCGAGCCTGCGAGCCATCATATATTAATCAGGTTTGCGGAACTATAGTTAAGGTGTAACACTTAGTGTAACACTTAGTGTAACACTTAGTGTAACACTTAGTGTAACACTTAGTGTAACACTTAGTGTAACACTTAGTGTAACACTTAGTGTAACACTTAGTGTAACACTTAGTGTAACACTTAGTGTAACACTTAGTGTAACACTTAGTGTAACACTTAGTGTAACACTTAGTGTAACACTTAGTGTAACACTTAGTGTAACACTTAGTGTAACACTTAGTGTAACACTTAGTGTAACACTTAGTGTAACACTTAGTGTAACACTTAGTGTAACACTTAGTGTAACACTTAGTGTAACACTTAGTGTAACACTTAGTGTAACACTTAGTGTAACACTTAGTGTAACACTTAGTGTAACACTTAGTGTAACACTTAGTGTAACACTTAGTGTAACACTTAGTGTAACACTTAGTGTAACACTTAGTGTAACACTTAGTGTAACACTTAGTGTAACACTTAGTGTTACACTTAGTGTAACACTAATGTAAAGTGTAACACTTAGTGTTACACTTAGTGTAACACTTAGTGTAACACTTAGTGTAACACTTAGTGTAACACTTAGTGTAACACTTAGTGTAACACTTAGTGTAACACTTAGTGTAACACTTCTTCAATTTAGAAACTTAAAACTATCTGTTGCTTGAATCATGAAATTGTTCTATTAACAAACACACCAAACCACAATTAAACCCTAATAAGTACCATGTGACGATGACAAGTATGGGCAGCATGTAGAGTGTAGAGTAGTACAGCACCACATACACATCCAACTTCTCCATTTTCTCTCCGACCAGCGCGTTCGCGTCCCAGATATCAAACACACACATCGGCATATAGAGATCCGGTAGTGAGAACGGGGATTTTCTGATAGGGCGGTTCAATTTTACTTTATATTACTAATTATTACTAATTATTACTAATTATTTTTCTTCATATTTACTGAAATCCCGTTTTTGTGCCTTCTAATAAACGGGCCATTAAGCTGTTGAAACTCAATCCCAAGCACCTAGTCCCACCCTTACTCACGCGTTAGGTCCAGTCTGCAGAAAGAAAGGCAGAGCAGCAACGAGAGGAACAAACAGCCAGGTTATGAGGATGAGATACTGAGCAGGACACCGCTTGAGGTTGTTGGAGTAGTGGAAGGGGAAGTAGGTGGCGTGTACCCGGTCCAGTGCCACACACATATTCGAGATTAGTCCCATCAGCATGGTCAGGTGGAATATGTACCTGGGAGAGGTCGGGTGAGGGGTGAGGGGTTAAAGGTGAGGGGTGAGGGGTTAAAGGTGAGGGGTGAGGGGTGAGGGGTGAGGGGTGAGGGGTGAGGGGTGAGGGGTGAGGGGTGAGGGGTGAGGGTGAGGGTGAGGGTGAGGATGAGGGTGAGGGTGAGGGTCAGGGTCAGGGTCAGGGTGAGGGTGAGGGTGAGGGTGAGGGTGAGGGTGAGGGTGAGGGTGAGGGTGAGGGTGAGGGTGAGGGTGAGGGTGAGGGTGAGGGTGAGGGTGAGGGTGAGGGTGAGGGTGAGGGTGAGGGTGAGGGTGAGGGTGAGGGTGAGGGTGAGGGTGAGGGTGAGGGTGAGGGTGAGGGTGAGGGTGAGGGGGAGGGGGAGGGGGAGGGGGAGGGGGAGGGGGAGGGGGAGGGGGAGGGGGAGGGGGAGGGGGGAGTGGTCGGGAGAAGAGGGTGAAATCCTATTACTAAAGAGTTACAGTTTAGATTGTAGGAAATGTATCATGTTATGTATATCAAATATTTTAGACAGCCCTATTGATGACGAGTAGACATCGCATAAATTATAAATGTGTTACGGCATAATTTGATAATTTCTGTTTAAACTTTGCCTGTCTACGCTAATTCCACGTACTTACCTACCTACCTATGTGACCTACTTAAACACTTACCCAAATATTTGGCACTTGGTATCGTTCTCAAATCCGTCGGAGTTACTAAAATAGTCTGATTGAGTGAGGTAGATGGAGTAAGGCATGCAGAAGAGGGTCTTTAGAAGGTCGGAGAAGGCTAGGTTGAAGAACCAGGGGTACACTGACTTTCTGTTGCGACTTAGCGAGCTTAGTGCTAGTGCGTTGCCTGGGTTATTGATGCTACTTTTAGCTTAGTTATAGCTTAGTTATAGCTTAGTTGTAGCTTAGTTGTAGCTTAGTTGTAGTTAATAGCAGTCTCACGAGTTTTAACGGAAGATTAAGATAATACGAAGTTATCGTTATTTCCAATAAAGAAAGTAAAAATATTAAAAAAGTAAGGTTTAAATAGTTTAAAATCATATTTAAGTTTGATACTGACCGATCAGCGAGAATAGCATAATGAGAGCTATTATCCATACGACCACGGTAGCGTAGGTGTCCGGTAACTCATCTGATGAAGCAGACTTTGTTAATATAATGCTCATAATATTATAATACTAATATCATCCACAAGTAGACATTATCTGCCATCAATAAAGTTCGCATTAATATTGGGAGTATAGTTTTCAAGACAGTTTAATACTTATCATATGGATAAGGAAGTTATTAATTATTAAGACATTACTTACTTGGAAGAGGAAGTTTAAGACATTACTTACTTGGAGTGAGAGTGGTGGAAATGTGGTCGGAATGGGGGATGATATCGGTGGTAGGGTCCACATTCATTATAGCGAAGCCTAGAGAAAATAACGGAACGTAAGAATGTGTTATTTGATAGAAAATGAAAATGAGATTGGGAATCAACTTTTTAACATGCACATAATGAAAAACTTTACATTGCAACTGAGTACAAATTCAATCAACATAATAATGGTCCGATAGTACTGAAATTCAAGATAAAGATTAAGCAAGGAACGCGATGAACCTAAGCACAGAAACTAATTAACACCCTGAATTTGGGGTCACAGATTTGATGATCACAACATAATTTGACTTCAGGATGAAATGTATATTGAAACATGTTACTGTGGTGTCCAGTGGCAAGGAGAGGTAGTAGATTATCCTCTAGGTGACATGAACGGGTCATGAACGGGGTGGCACTAAAATTGGGTGCAGAATTGACTATGACGCAAGTCTGGCCAACCTCCTCCCTCTCGAATCCCGCATTATTAGTACCAAGATCATACAGAAATTATGGGAGCAATATTGACTCGAAGCACCACCATTATACAGCTATAGAGTCCCTATAAGCTTGATAACTAGACAACTACTCACGAAATTAGCGCGGGATTCCAACAATCTGCCGTATAATATGGGGAAGGTTTAATAGCAATTTAGAATTTTCAGTCGGTGGAATTTAAGAAAGGGAGACGGCGTAAATTCGCTTAATAGTTCTTGCTGAAACGTTTGTTAAACTTCTAATAGCCAGGAACTGGTTGCAAGAGCCAAAATGAAGTTAAGAAAATAATAAGCATTACAGGTACAGTTCATAAATCGTATCAACGAAGATAAAAGAAAATACAAGGGTAGTAGTTGTAGCTCGTACCGCTACTTAACGACATTTTACCGCAACTTTAACGACCTTGTACCGCAACTTTAACGACATTTTACCGCAACTTTAACGACATTTTACCGCAACTTTAACGACCTTGTACCGACGGCGTATACTGTGTAATAACCTGTAGTTCCATAATGGCTCTCACGAGTACCAGACCTCACAGGACCTTACATTTATTACAAGGCCTCTTTTGTTTTAGAGACGAAAATTGTTGCGGTCTAGGTCCTTCTTTTGTTGCAGTACATAGAGTTAAGTTGTTCAAAAGAGGACAAAAGAGGTGTTGCGACACAATCAGGCTCAAATCTTTATAAATGTATATTGAAATGAAGCAATCCTTATCTTTCAAACGATGCTAGACACTCCAATGATTATTGGGGCGCGGCTCGTTTTGACGTCTGAGACATTAAAAATATGAAAACAATTTACGATCGCAAACAATAATATTAGAACATCAACAAATGTTTGGGCTCTTGTGTTTACCGTCCTCGTGTCTTATGCCCATCTTAATTAAATATGAATTATGAGGGCTAAAACGAAATTTCGGGTATATACGAAGCAAATGTGACAATAAAAATGGAAAGATTTTGTAATCTGCAGGAATTCCCAAAAGCAAATTTGCTCTGTCCCCCGACCTGCCTATAGTCGTAGTAGTACACCTGCCTATAATATAACACATAACATACTAATTATGTCGATTATTATTCCAACAAATGGAAGGTTTGGCGTGACGAATGAAAATTGTATACCTTTACGACTAATGTTGATATGGTAACGGCAAGGCTGTTGTCATGGCAACGGCTATTGTCATGGTACCTTTACGGCTAATGACTTTGTGCCGTCACGAATTTACATTTTAAGTAGCATTTATGAACCAGAGACAGGCTCAGTTACAAAATCAAGCGCTCAATCACCCCACAATGTGATTGCGGTTGTTTGGTGTAATCCACTGCTTGAAATCCTCAATTAGCGGTCTAACTCTAATCGTGCGGCTTCACAAACAACAGCTGACCCGGAGCCTCCTCTACTAATGTTATGTGACATCAAAGCGATGGTTAGAGTTGTGATTATCAGCCAGAGCACCGGTATGAGAAACAGAGCTGAGCTGAGAGTGATCTGGATAATCATTAAAATTAATGTATTGTTGAATCACGCGAAAGAGCATTCTCAGGGTTGTGTATGATTCGCCTCTCCAAACAAATCTAAAGTTAAACTTATCTCGACTTGCACCCTTACAGATCTATAACAACACAAAATATCTGGTGAGATCTTATCTCCGAAATGGTGAGTTATATCTCGACTTGCACCCTTACATCTACAACAACACAAAATATCTGGTAAGGTCTTATTTCCGAAATGGTGAGTTATCGCAATTAATGAAAGCTGTATCTCCACTAACCGGACAAGCAGTGAACATGAAGGTATTTACTCATGAACCATTCTCTATTAGCTTATTACTCTTCTTAACGTGAAATGAACAGGATCTCCGACTCATAAGTTGTTTCTTGCTGCTTAGAGTTACACGAGGTGATACTGATATTTACTATTATATAATATACTATTTACTATATCACTATACGATATATTATGTAATATAATGGCTGTTCGTCATCATCCCCTCCTGGTCTCGTACAGATTGTAATAAATTAATTGCGCAGGGCCGGTTAGGGGGGTTGAGCAAGCATTAAGGAGTTAAGAAACTTGACGAACTGGACTAGTTCCTCTGGCGAATGTTATAAACGTAATTATTTACCGTAGTTTAGTCACGTGTTAGCCACGTGTTAGTCACGTGTTATCGTGATCACGGAAGGTAACTCCTCATACGAGCAAAAGTAGGGTGAGCAGCTGGGTTCCACCCTCGTACGAAACTATGATTGTTATTCTCTCTCTTTTTACATTATTCTCTCTCTTTTTACATTATTCTCTCTCTTTTTACATTATTCTCTCTCTTTTTACATTATTCTCTCTCTTTTTACATTATTCTCTCTCTTTTTACATTATTCTCTCTCTTTTTACATTATTCTCTCTCTTTTTACATTATTCTCTCTCTTTTTACATTATTCTCTCTCTTTTTACATCATTACATTAAGAGCCCCATTTTCATGTTGCTAAAATAATTATATCCATTCAGTCGCCTTCTCATTCAGGAGAATTTAGGATATCATCATAGTAATTGAATGCTCTGTAACTTATGATGACTTGCAAGCTGAACATTTCTAGAAAGAAACTTAAACAATATGTCGATGGACTGTTTAAAGGTGATAAAGCAGACTCATCTGCCATTTAGATGTCTGCCATATCTGCCATTAAGATGTCTGCCATTATAAATAGAGCAGATCACCAAAACAACAGCAACGAACAAAATACTCCCATTAAAAAGCTCCAACAGACGCGAAAAAAGAAGAAAGGACACCTGGCGGCTGGCGTACGATTTATTTTAGATTTAATTGGCGGTTAAACTAAAACTGAAGCTGTTAAGAAATACAAAAAAGATATGATTATAGAAGACCGCGTGATCGCAAACAGTTACAGCTACTTGAACAGTTGGCAGGGTGGTTGGTACCAAACACCGGCTAATAAAAATAGGTACCACTATCTAGTCTAATAATCCTGGGTGGCTGCTAATACCAGATAGTTTTTATGATAAAAGTCAGGGCTGTTTTTGTGTCCACCTGGCAGAGCTGTTATAAATATAATATTGGACAACTAAGAGAGGGGAGAGAGGGCTTACTAAGGCTCCTTCAAGCGGTCTCTTTCTTATGGTGTTAGGGCAGATGAAACTCAAGCTGCGCTCATTTATAAAGTCACGAGGCATAGGGGAGAGGGGAGAGGGGAGAGGGGAGAGGGGAGAGGGGAGAGGGGAGAGGGGAGAGGGGAGAGGGGAGAGGGGAGAGGGGAGAGGGGAGAGGGGAGAGGGGAGAGGGGAGAGGGGAGAGGGGAGAGGGGAGAGGGGAGAGGGGAGAGGGGAGAGGGGAGAGGGGAGAGGGGAGAGGGGAGAGGGGAGAGGGGAGAGGGGAGAGGGGAGAGGGGAGAGGGGAGAGGGGAGAGGGGAGAGGGGAGAGGGGAGAGGGGAGAGGGGAGAGGGGAGAGGGGAGAGGGGAGAGGGGAGAGGGGAGAGGGGAGAGGGGAGAGGGGAGAGGGGAGAGGGGAGAGGGGAGAGGGGAGAGGGGAGAGGGGAGAGGGGAGAGGGGAGAGGGGAGAGGGGAGAGGGGAGAGGGGAGAGGGGAGAGGGGAGAGGGGAGAGGGGAGAGGGGAGAGGGGAGAGGGGAGAGGGGAGAGGGTTAGCGAAGGGAGATGTGAGGTAGTGAGAGAGGGGAGAGGGGCTGTCTTAATCAACACTGAGAGCTAGGAAGTAACTGGGTAAATTTCATTTTCCCTAGAACGAAGATATTTGAGGTATTTGTAATAGGGAAAGGATTCGCTAAGCGTAAGAATGATTGCTGCTATTGGTATGCCAACTTGTAAGAAATGTCACGTGTGTTTGTCCTTGTCATGAGTGATTGTCAACCTTTAAATTAAATCTCGAGACATCTAACATTCTTGAAGTTTATGACATGTCCCTCATTAATTCGATAATGAAAACAACCACCAATACACCTTAGCGACTCCCCAGAAAATTAATTTGATCTATAATTCATTACTTTCAAGCAGTTTAAGTCGTGTTCATTAATTTCACCAAAATAGCAAAATTAAGCTCGAGATTTCTCAAAGGAAGGCTAAAGAAGACCCATACCACTACCAGCGACCTTATGATCCAACCCCAATAAAAAAGCTGGATAATGGATAGTGCTGATAGTGTTCTAATACTTAATCAGGATCTACTAGTAGCTAAGAAGAATAACATGCAGATTGACCCACCTTGAGTACTTAATATTTAAAATGAACATATATATATTTCATATTATGTGGGTCAGGTGCAAGTTGTCACGATTTGATCGTATACTCGGCAGGTTGACCTCATAACTACATATATATAGTAAGTAAGTTTGATTTCCTGGTAAAGTAGGGACCATTATATACCAACAAGCACTCTGATTTACAATTTAATGTTTAATGGGTTTTGGTCTAGCCAAGGTTGTCAGAGTGACACTGACTCAGAGTGGGAGAAGGGAGAGAGGGACTCATAGTCACTTGTTTCAGATTGCAAACGGGATCTCCTTGACTCCTTGACAACCGTATACGTTCTCGCACTCGTAGTGCAGTCTCAAGTCTTGACAGCTACGTTGGTTAATCGTGTAGTGAAAAACAAG